AACTTTTGTCTGATCAGTTGCTAATCACAATTATATATCTTCTGTGGCTTTCCACCCACTATATCTGGCTATTTGTATTACTTGGAGGGGGGGGGAGAGCTTCTGTAGTTGTTTCCCCCCTACTTACCTCTCTCTCCAATGGTCTCTCCCCCTTCAACCTCTATGGTAACCAACACCTGGCTTCCTTACCATAGAGCTGAAAGAGAACAGAGTGGCAATATTAGTATGAAGATTGCCAGCACGGTCATCAATGAGATCACTCTTTGCTGATCACCCTTGTTTTCTGCAGTGTGAGCACTGATGGACATTGGTCTTTTATAATAATGTGGCCTGCAAATCTTTGACAGTCTGTCAAAAATGGCACCCTACAGGTCGAAGCAGGAGAAACCCCAGCTGGTATTCTCCCTGTATTTATCATTTCATCCTGCGCTCATCCTCTGTTCCACCAGGTTCTCCAACTGGCATGCCAGGAGATAGGTTGACATGTGTTCACTGCATTCTCAAATAAATGCCACATACAGGTTTAGAATTAGCCTATTACTTGGGCAACTTGAAAGGTGACACAGTATTGATGCAGAATAGAGGCCATCTATCAGGGCCAAGCAATGTACAGTATGGTAGCATATTTTCCTCTCACCAAAGGAAAGCATGTTAAACAGCTGCCTGGATGAGCCATAACAGCAGTGTTTCTCAATTTTGACAACTTTAAGACGTGTGGACTTCAATTCCCATGCTGGCTGGGGAATTCTAGGAGTTAGAGTCCAAACATTTTAAAGTTGTCAAGGTTGAGAAATACTGCCTCAGAGTATCAGATTCTGTGTTAAGCTAACTATGTATGTTAGCAAACATTACTCAGATTTATTCCTCCCAGAAGCACAACACTGTTTTTTCTGCAAACTATAGCAAATTTCATCTTGTCTCTTGTTTGTTATCCTATTCAAAAAGAATAATTATATTGTACCAAACCCAAAGTACCAATGAATGGATGAAAGGAAGAGACCAGGGCTAATTCCAAAATCTGTAGAGCCCACGTCTACATAATCTCCATTTGCAATGGAACTTTCGGCTATGCATTTCAGGGCATCTATTCATCTCTAATGTGTAAGTCATACTCTGTACGCTGACTGCAAAGCTTAATTATCTAACTATAGCTAATTGCAGAGGCTTTATAGTATGTTGAAACCCAAAAGGTGGAGAGACTGGAATGAAGCAATAACGACTTCCACATTTTGGCAGAAACAGAAAGACACAATTGAGATAGAAACTATTACTCTTTAAGATGAAACTGGATTCAACAACTTTCTGTTTGGTAACTCCAGCCAAGTTGAATTTATTGACCATTAATGGCCATTCTTCCTGCCCACAAACCACCTTCTGTGTTAATTTTTCAAAGTACTCATTATGTAAAGAGTCAAAGAATACCTGAATGTATTTTCTTCTCACTTCCCACACTTGGTATTTGAAAGTTAAAGCCAATCTTCACCAACTTGATATTCTGCACAGGGATTAGAACTAAAAGTCCAAATCAGTAAATTTGCTACAGTAGTAGGAATTCTGGGAATTGTAGTCTCCAATTCTCTTGGAGGATGGTTTACATTGTTTGTAGCCTTGTTTTTTAACTGAAAATCTCCATAAGTGTTTTGTAGAAATGCAGTTTGAAACTAGTGTTAATAAATTAGGGATTAAGAAATATAAATATAACAAAGAATTCTGGAAATTACCATACATCTTCCCAAAATGTTGAGATTTTGCTCTGGAATCTTTTGAAGATCTCCAGACATAAAATAAGTGCAGAGATGAAGTATAGATATGACCAAAAGATTCTGTATGATAAATCACAATGTGGTTTGCTTGGTTTCATCTTAATGTGTAGTATAAATCTAGCCAATTGTGGTTTATTCAACAAAGAAAGATCAAGCAAAGCATGGCTTATAACGTGCAAACTCAATCATTCCATCAGTAAGCATATATTTCTCCACTTTTCTTTTCCCCTAACACAGATGGCCTAAGCTGGTAATGGAAAGAGAAAGGATCTTTTATTACCCATTAACAGTTTGAAATAAATATTTTCAGCTATGCCAAGGTCAAATTAATGCTTCTTCAATTTGCAGTGTAGTATGTCTTGTCATTCAAAATATCTAGGAGATGGAACAAAAGTAAACTCTGGCTAAGAATTTGCTCTTGTAATAATACTCCTAGTTACATTATTCCCTGGTCCAATTCTATGCCAGGTTTTCCTAACAATCAAGTATTTTCTAATAAATGTTGATGGATTTACAAAATGAAGGTATTTTATCTATGTATCGGAATCAATGTCATTTCTTGTTGGACCCAGAAGGATCCAGGTTAAATAACATATGTTGAGGAAGAGCTTAGAGCAGAAGGAAACATAACAGGCTCTTTCAAAGTTACTCCACTCCACCAGATTATTTAATGTTATCCCTTAGTCTCCCTTGTTTCTTCTAAGACCAGTGATCCACAGCTGCATGCAGTCCTTTGTCTCAAGAACACTGAAAGCTAGATCTCTGTTTTCCTTTCCTATTGGCAGTTGCTCAGCGCCTGCCTTCCTATTGCCAAAGCAGTAGCATCAAGAAACCTTTGGTTATTGTGGGGAGAGAGACGAACCAAAAAGGCTTCCCATTCCTGTTCTAGTGACTTTGTTTTAAATTACTGGATTAAAATGAATAACCTACAAGTGTCTTGCTAGGGAAAGGATGAAAGACAAGAGTTATACATTTTTCTCCTGCCTTCCTTTTTTCTAACCTTGCTGAAAATTACTGGGAAGAGCTGAAACTGATCTCATGGTGTCCCAGTGACTGCTTGAGAGACTCATTTTTTTTAAAAGGTAAAGGTAAAGGTTCCCCTTGCACATGTGTGCTAGTTGTTCCTGACTCTAGGTGGTGGTGCTCATCTCCGTTTCAAAGCCGAAGAGCCAGCGCTGTCTGAAGATATCTCCATGGTCATGTGGCTGGCATGACTAAATGCCAAAGGTGCATGGAACGCTGTTACCTTCCCACCAAAGGTGGTCCCTATTTTTCTACTTGCATTTTTTACGTGCTTTTGAACTGCTAGGTTGGCAGAAGCTGGGACAAGTAAAGGGAGCTCACCCCATTACGCAGCACTAGGGATTCGAACCGCTGAAGTGCCGACCTTTCAATTGACAAGCTCAGCGTCTTAGCCGCTGAGCCACCGCATCCCTCTAAAATTTTTTTTACAGCAAGTCAATTTCATTGCTCCCTTTCACTGATCTGATGAAGATTATAAGAAAGGGACCGAATGTGATGCGTATGAGAACAAGTAATATTCAGGAGGGAAAGAGTGTGGCGTGTCTTTCTTTAATCCTGGCAAAATTTACAGTGTTTGGAAAACTGAACAGGCTTCCCCATCCTTGCTCTAACAGCCCCCATTGCTGTTCATTTTTCATCCTTTACACTAATTCTGTGAAGTAAGGTAGTATGAAGGGTAATGACTGGCCAAGATCACCCCTTTGCAGATGACTGAAAATTGGTGAGCATTATGCTTATTATTTAATAAGAGCCTTGTACTCTTTGTTCCAGTATTCTGAACTCATCTGGATTAAGCTCTGCAAAGAAGTGTATTATCAGCTGTAAAGTATAGTTGCCGTGAAAAAGAACTGTCTGATGTTCTTAAAGACTCACAAATTAGATCAACTTCTCCCATTAGCAGGTGAAAAGGAAAGGGGTTCCACCACAGGCATGAGGGGGAGGTGAGAAGATTCATCCTCTTGATACCATATTTCACTGGCTGCCAGTATATTGTCAGAACAACAGATGGGGAATTACATTTGGCAGTTCTGTAGATGAAAGGTTCCTTAAATGCAAGATTAGATAAGATACACTGTACATAGAAATCATCATTCTGTTCCTCTTCCTCCTCCTCTTTGATTGCTACAGCAATAAAAAAAAAAGTAGGAATGTTGAAAAACGGATTATTCTCTGTGGTCAGGGACATTACCGTCTTATAATAGTAAAGCTAAAAGGGGCGGTTGAATCCAAATATTTGCTCAGTAAAAAAAAAAAAGTCTAAATAAAAACATCCCACAGATAAGATACTGGCTTTCCGTTGGTGTTTGGCTTCCTGTAACTTAAATCCATTCTTCTATATCCTGCATTCTCTAAAGGGAGAAAAAAAATGATTTTGAGCTGCTTCTTTCTGAGTCTCTGATATCTGAGGAGGTGCTATCATGTCCCTGTGGGTCATCTTTTCTCAAGATTTTTTTTTTATAGATAGATAGATAGATAGATAGATAGATAGATAGATAGATAGATAGATAGATATAGATATAGATATAGATATAGATGATATAGATATGATATAGATATAGATATAGATATAGATATAGATATAGATATAGATATATCCAGTTCCTTCCATGTCTCTTCACAGGACTTAATTTTTAGTTCCTGATCATCTCCTCAGATACCCTCTTTTTAATACATTCTACTGTATATATGCTCCTTCAATATTTAGGGACACTGAACATAAACTATTACATAGAATGATCCCAATCTCTCATCCATCCTAGGTAGAAAAATGTCTATTTATGGAAAGTGCTCTTTTACAACTTTTAAAATATGCTTTGCTCAGTGGTGGGCTGCAACCAGTTTAACAACTGGTTCTGTGAGCGTGTGCTTTGCGTGCATGCGCGCCTAACGCATTTACGTGCAGCATTCAAAATACAGCAATTTGAAGCTCAGCTGCTTACCTTCTAAGGCAGCCCCAGTCAGTGGAACAGCAGAGGTGTGGAAATCAGCTGCGCCACGCATATCAGCTGAGCCAGAAAGAGGGAAATATAGGACAGGATAGGGCAGGGGCAGGTGGGCGACGCCAGCTGATGGTCGGAACTACTGGTTCACTAGAACCAGTCCGAACCAGCAGCAACTTGCTGGTTTTGGCTTTATGGTCAACTTAACACAACTCCCGAGATGAGGAAATGCAACATTCATTATAAGTCAAAAATAAAAAGCATGTACAGAATCTTTCTGTTGCCAAAAATAATTTAATAAAATCAATTGGACAGTTGACAGCATGTCTTTTCCCCCTATTTACTTTCACAGAGAATTTAAGTGGAAATATATACAATAGAAAGAGAAAGTATTACCAAGAACAGAACGTTCCATAGCACCCCATGAAGAATAATTTGTTACTGACAGCCTTTAATTTTCATTCATTCATTTATTCATTCATTCAATTCATTCTGGCTGCCCATCTCAAATACATGACTCTGGGCAGCGAAATTGGCTCTTTGCAAGGAAAATTCTGTATACGTTTTTATTGTGTTTGCTAAGTTGAACAATTTCTATTAAAGTTAACAGCTACCCAGGCAAAAGGCAAACAAGCATTCCCAATGGTAGTAGAAATGGTTTGAAAATACATGAGTTGCCATTCCATGAACATAACAGTATTTCAAACGAAGGCAATCTGCATTATAACCAATTCTACCATACCCTGGAACAGACTTTGGCAAACCTGGAACCTTCCATACTGTTATGTATTGAACTGCAGCTCACATAACTTTCAGCTATGCTGGCTGGAGACAATGGGAGACATAGTCTAACAATTCAAAGGTGCCAGATCGGGTGATCGCTGCTTCAGAGTGTTGGCTCGTCTTCACCTTCAGCCAGCCAAGAAATCCATTGACTGAGCTCTCACATTTCGATTCAAGGATGTGATTATAAGGTTTCCTGTTCTTCTCTCATGGTGAAAATATGCAGGAAGGGTGGTCTTTCTGGCTGCCTCCCATCAAGCCAACCAGAAGTGAGAAAAGTGATTATGTCCCCAAATCTGGAAAAGCTTCTTTAACTAGGGCAGGGCTAGAATTCAACACCATGCTTTGCTGCTTAATTCAAAACATTTAAGCATAATATTTAAGAAAGTACTTTTAATGATTAAAAAACAAAAGTCAACGATTGAGAGCATCTCCTTTCAAGGTAAATCACGAAAGAGTTGATGCCACAACTTAGTAGAAAGGAGCAAGAAAGAAAAAAAAAGATAGTAAAATTTGCTTTTACTGTAATTTTTTTTCCCTGCTCTTGGAATAGATTTCTAATTTAAAAGTAAAGATGTTGGGAAATGTTCTTACTTTTTTAATGCTCATAAATTAGGCTATTGTGTATTGTGAACAGTGGAATAGAGCAGCATGACAGGAAAAGAACACACGAAACAGTAAACCAACACAATTAAGAGGCTCTTAAATTATCAAAAATTTTCACTTACAGCAGCCACAACGATTTAAAAAATCTACATGAACATATACATTTCTTTAAAAAGAAACCATTAAGCACATATAAAATATTTTTTTAAAAAAACAAAAACAAGAATTTCTTCCCCTCAAATTCACAATTCGCTTAGTGTTCTTTTTATCTCAATCTCAATAACAACGAAACATTAGAAATTTAGGGTCAAGATGACATTGAAGTCAGCAGGTTAAAAAGCAGTTTTTGAACACTGAGTTGAGGATCCCAGCACCTTAAAGAAACTCATTTTGTGGTTTTAATCTGGTTTTCGGTTCTTGAAGGCAGGATTTGCATGAGAAAAAAAAAAACCTTTACTTCGTTTTTAAATTAACCGGTTTTCTGAGTTCCCACAATATACTGAACCGCGAACTAACTCAAAGGGCTACGTTTGCACAACACATTGACTAAGAAAAATGAAGTTGCATGCATGCAATGGATGGATGAAAAAGTATAACATTGGGATGCTTTCATCGTTCGCAGACATGTTTGAATCTGGATAAGTGTGCTGTTTGAACCTAGTTACTACGGTATGGTCTCTGAGCCTCTGCTGAAGATTACATGCCCAATTTTTTCCACTGTTTTGAACTACAGAGTCACCGGCTAGATCAGACAATAATGCTGCAAAAATCCATCCCTTCTGTACAGTGGGAATCCAGAGCATGCCCTGTTTATTAAACATTCAAGTGGGGGCATAAGGAATAAGGCCTGCGGGTACGCAATTGAGGAATACATAAAACACAGGATAACACCATAGTTATTCCACATTAAAAAAACTGTGGTCTGACTGCTTGATGCACATCAGTTTGCACGAGTGTACACTCTACAACAGAGTTAGCAAGCTTTCTGGCAGGAGATATTATCCCAAGAACAAGTACTGCGTCAGAGGTGCTAAAAACAATATTTTTAAAATGCCCAGAATCTTACATAATTTGAGCAAAAAAGACCAAGATCTTATACCATTTGATGGATTTCTCTAGATTTGGGCTATTTAAAATAAAATGTTTTGCATTTAATTTTAGGGTAACCATAAATGCCACTGAGTACAGCACTTGTTCATACATTCCTGTCTGGAAATTTCCAAAATATGTGAAAATGCACCTGGTACTAAAGAAAGATGAGGACAAGACAGATGCTATCTGATCCAACTCAACATCCCTGAACTTGTAAGGCAGACCTATGCACTAATATGTAAGACAAGTGCTCGAAACTGCAGCCCTAAATTTAAGTCTTGCTTTTGCAAGATCATTTTCTAGTTCAAATTGCCCCATTATACCAAATATTTCTAGGCATTTATTCATGGCATAATGATTCCTCAATTTGGATTAAGGTGATCTAGAGCAGGGGTGTCAAACTCAAGGCCAGGGGGCCGGATCTGGCCCATGGGGTGCTTAGATCTGGCCCACGGGGCTGCCCTGGAAACAGCAAAGGACCAGCCTGTGGTGCCTCTGTCAGCGAAAATGGAGCTCGCGAGAGCTGCGCGTGCCCCCCTCCCGAGCTCCATTTTTGCTGGCAGAGGGTTGCAGGAGGCCATCAGAGCCGAAAACAGAGCTCAGGAGCCTGTTTTTGCTGGCAGAGCGCTCGAGCCACCACAGATGCCCCCCGACATGCTGACCATGCCCATCCTGGCCCCCCAAGGTTAAACACAACCCTGATGCGGCCCTCAATGAAATCAAGTTTGACACCCGTGATCTAGAGGCTAAAGACAAGGGGGAAAGTAACCAATGCAGCTTTGCTTTTTTGGGGGGTGGGGTGGAGGGAGTAGCTATGCACCTTATGCAATGGCCAGCTCTGCCCACAGAGTGCCTTTGGTGAGGATCATAGATTTTAATTATAGGGTCTTAAGGAAGGACGGTTCAGGCTTGGTGGAGCCCTTAAAAAGAAATCAAGAGGTCTCTGCCTACCTGTAAGCGACAGTGATCTCCAGTAAAGGAGATATAGTAAATAATCATGATCATTATTCCCTTTTATTCCCATTTTCTCAAACCTATTTAAAAAAATTAACAAAAATGTAAAGATCCTGGTAAAACTGTGATTACTACCCCTCCGTATAAAATAGTTGGCTCTGCACATCTCCAGAGACTCAGCTTGTTTTCACATATTAGACAGTTAAGAGAAGATAAAAAAAATCAAGTACGGAATGCAGTTGCTCTGCTAGAGAGAGAGAGAAGGTTAAATTAACATGAACATCTGGATAGGACAAATATTTGGAGATCAAACAAACACCCTACAAATGTTCTTTTTATATAAGGACACCAAGGATTTCAGCTGCTTTAATAGTACCCTGTTGTATATTTTTTTTTTAATAAAAAAAAATATATATGTCGTTAGGGAGCTACCAAAAAACTTGCAAAAACCAGCAGTGGATTGGCCCAGGCTACTCTGAAACGCTCTTTTGATAACTAAATAGTTGGAAATGCCTTTCCTTTTCACCACAGTAAAAATGCAAAGAGCGCTGTCCGTTTCATCTGTTTGGCAGCTTTTTTTGGCGCCTGGATTACAACACAAAGATCCAAACTTATTACAGTACAAAGAAATATACAAGGGCCGGTTTGTGTAAAGACACCAGCTATCAGCCGGCCAAGCTTTTTTTTTTTTTCTTCATGATTCCACTCCGGTTTGCAAGTGGGAGGTGGGGGGAAAGACAACATATCTGAAGGATTTCTCCCTTTGTAAATAACATTATCTTCCTTTGGCATCAGGACTGGTAAAGTGGCTCCCTTCTTGCTGCTGAACTCCAATTCCCATCAGCCCTAGCCAGCAGAGCCCAATGGGGAGACACAAAGGAACCTAAAGTTTTAAAACATCTGGAAGACCTCCAGATTGCCACCAATAAATGAGCACAATAGGAAGAAAGCAAGTATAGTAAATCCTCTGTTTAATGGATCTCGAATGCAGCAGACAAAATAGGTTGGATCTGGATTTTTGTCCGCATTTCAGGCAGTATCAGAATTCCATCCCAAACAATGGATCAAGTCAGGTCAGGCAATGTTTTCTGCTGCTGCACATCCATAATTTATTTGTTTTTTTAAAAATGATATTTAATAAATAATTAAATGGTCCGTTAGTGGCTATCTCAAACTCTTTTACAAGAGTTGGTGACTATATTTTGTAAGAAAAGGTATGAATGTTTTGTACTTTCAGGTATAGCTTTTACCTGCGGCTTCATAGGTAAAGGCAACACCGAACACTTATGATTATTAAAGTAATTTCATGTGTGGGTACATTTTGGCCTCAAGCAATCTCATTCAACTTTAATAGACACCCCTTTCCCCTTTCCCCGGGGCCCCTATCCATTAAATCAAGGTTTTACTATACAAAAGCTTTTTCTAGGCACAATCACGTTCTGCTTTCAAGAAACCTTTCTCCCACACACAAGCCCAACGTTTTATCATTTGATCTGGATCAGGGGTCTCCGACCGTGGCAACTTTCAGACTTGCGGACTTCAACTCCCAGAGTTCCTCAGCCAGCAAAGCTGGCTGAGGAACTTTGGGAGTTGAAGTCCGCAAGTCTGAAAGTTGCCAAGGTTGGAGACCCCTGATCTGGATAATCGCATCAACAAGCCTTGGAAATAAGAGGTCAAAATCAAAAGAGGAAACATCTCTCGCTCTTACACTCAACTAAGCCTTCGAAGCACACAGTCAGCTCTTTCCCAGTTGTGGGTTTCCACAGCATGATCTTCAAACGGGATTCGGATGACAGTCTTTCCGCGGTGAACGTGTCGGTGGCCATTTCTCAGCAAATCCGATCTTGATGGATATAAATCAAGAAATGAATGCAAAAGGCCTGAAATGCCAAGTTCCCCCTTGGGAAGCGGGGTGGGGTGGGGGGTGGGGGGGAAGCAGTCCGCTGAACAGAAGAGAGAAGAGGGTCAGCCAGCCAACCTGCGCAAGCGCCTCTGGTTAAGGAGCATATTGGTTTCCTTCACTATCAAAGGCATGATGAAGACCACCGTTAAACTGGTCTGCAAAAAAGAAAAGACAGGAATAGCTTTGAAGGCAGAGGCACAATGTGGTTCAATGCAATTATGGCACTAGCTCTAGAGGATATCAAACACTATACAGAGGCAGATCCAGATTTGCCATCCCATGAACACTTAGAAAGACTTTGTACCTGATCGGTCCGTTTGCCCAAATGGCCCAATATTACTTATTTTGATGGAAGCAGCATCTACTGTATCTGATCCATTTTCTACTGGAAGAGGAGCCAAAACCAGTTCCGCTTCAATCATGCCTTATAGGTGATCTATAAGAAGTGAAGATGAAGTGCCTAGAAACCATCCTATCCTGTCCCCTATTTGGCAAGACAAAGCATACCTGAGTACAGAATAACAGAGTTGGAAAGGACCTTGGAGGTCTAGTCCAACCACCTTCTCAGGCAGAAAACCCTATACAATTTCAAACAAATGGTTGTCCAATCTCTTTCTTTAAAACTTCCAGTGTTGGAGCATTCACAGCTTCTGGAGGCAAGTCGTTCCACTGATTAATTGTTCTAACTATCATGAAATTTCTCCTTAGTTCTAGGTTTTCTCTCTTTAGTTTCCATCTATTGCTTCTTGTCCTGCCTTCAGGTGCTTTGGAAAATAGCTTGATTCCCTTTTCTTTGTGGCAGCCCGTTAAGATATTGGAACACTGTTATCATGTCAACACCTAGTCCTTCTTTTCATTAAACTAGACATACCCAATTCCAGCAACTGTTCTTTAGTTTTAATCTCCAGTCCCTTAATCATCTTTGTTGCTCTTCTCTGCACTTTTTCTAGAGTCTCAACATTCTTTTTACATTGTGGCGACCAAAATTGGATGCAGTATTCCAAGTGTGGTCTTACGAAAGCATTATAAAGTGATATCGGCACTTCATGTGATCTTGATTCTATCCCTCTGTTAATGCAGCCTAGAACTGCGTTGGCTTTTTTGGCAGCTGCAGCACACTCCTGGCTCATATTTAAACGATTGTCCACTAGGACTCCAAGATCCCTTTCTGCAACTTGCCCCTGATGATGGAAGGCATGCACTTATCATCCCGCATGGAAGAAATAGTTAACAAAAGGAAAAAGAGGGCTCTCCAATTAAAATCCTCATGTGTGTTTGTTGAATGACAGGACAAGTGAGAACTGCCTCCGACTCCAGTCTGGATTCAATTCCCCACCCTTACTTTAACTGATGGCCTTTCCCCACTTTTGGCACGGTGGACCTGGTAGGCCCATTTTTCACCCTCCCCAGGCTCCAGAGGCTTTCTTAGAGACTGGGGAGGGTGAAAACAGCCTTCCCCACCTCCTCAGAGGCCCTCCAGAGGCCAGAAACAGCCCCTGACTTTCAGTGGGACCGGAAGGCCCATTTTTCGTTCTCCCCAAGCTCCACAGGTTTTCTAGGAAAGGCCTGAAAATCAGCTAGCCAATGTGCACATGCGCGCTGGAGCTGAGGTAGGGCAACACTCACGTGCCCGCAGATATGGCTCTGTGTGCCATCTGTGGCATGCGTGCCATAGGTTTGCCATCATGGTTTTAAATCTTAAGAGATGTTATTGTACAGTCCCATACGCATTTACTTAAGAGTTCTAACTAACCTACTTGCTCTAAATGTGTTCAGGATTGCAGCTTTCCTATGAGGTACATTCTTCAAATATAGACTGTTGAGATGGCAGACCAATTACAGACTGAAAATTACACCCATTATCAATGATACAGATCAGACCCTAACAATCTCAATTTCACGTATGAGGGCTGTTTCGTATTGAATGTCATGCAACCCATGAAGAAATTATATTCAATGGGTTACAGTTGTCAATCAGATGATTCATACAAATGCCATCTCCTGTGAAATTGAGGAAATGTAATCCTTGCAGGATAAAAAGGCAAGAAAGTTATAATAAATTGAAAATATATTGAAAACCTCTATAAGGTTTGACTGTCCTTCATCTTCTTTGGAAGATGAAAGACATCTTAGCTAAGAATGTAAACTTATGTGTTTCGTTCATTTTATTTAAAATGTTTAAATATTCACCTACAACTGTTTCCATAGAGAGATGCCATCAGAATGGGGACCAAGGGGCTGGACACCAGCTAACTATTAGCAATTCAATAGTGAAAAGATTGAGCCATCAATCAAGACATCCTTTATTTGACTCTTACTTCTGCCTTTATCTCATTGGGGCCAGTTTTTTTAAACTGAGAAGAAACTCCCATTGATCTAAACTGGATAATGTCTAGTCTTGCACTCTAGCACTGCAGTTTAACATAATGCTAAACCAGGACTTTTAATCTGCTCGCTTAACAATTTCATATCTGGATTTTGTTTCTTTTTCCCCCCAAAGTTTTTTATTTTTTTATTTTTTATAAAGATATCAAATTAATGCGTGTGTGGCACCTGGGTGTCATACATTCTAATACAAATAAAATTATTCAGATTAATCATAACTATTACATTCCATCCGTTTATATATTTCTAATAATAATACACACTTGTATTAAGTTATAGTCTATCATTGTTCAATTATTCCCCATTTTCTCTCGTTATTACTTTCATTTTATGAAATAAAAATGTATACACCAATATCCCCCCTTCTCTTATTTCTATCACTTATTCTAGCTTTTGATCATATCATCCTTTATTAAAAGACTTTTTCTTTCTTTCTTTCCTATCTAACTTCTAATCATGTCACCTACCTAAAAAAAGAAGAAAGAAAAGGAAAAGAGAAAGAGAGAAAAGAACAGAACAACATTTCTTTTTCTTGCTGCTTGGTGGGGAAGGGTATAATCTAAAAAAAAAATTTTTTTTTAAATGTTTTCTTACCATCAGAATGAAGAAATAGAAAACTTGCATCCATCCCAACCTCTCCTGGATCAAAGATACTAAGTACTGGAAGGAAAGGAAACACAATGAATCCTTAAAGGAATGCATACGAGTTTTGTTTTTCTATTACTTTGTTTATGCATACAAATCTCTCTATATATGTATATATGTCTATGCATATGCATAGTCTATATATATACATGTCTATGCATATGCATATGCTTGTCGATCTAAAGGTCGGCAGTTCAGCAGTTTGAAACCTAGCGCGTGAGCTCCCATTACTTGTCCCAGCTTCTGCCAACCTAGCAGTTTGAAAGCACGTAAATAATGCAAGTAGAAAAACAGGGACCACCTTTGGTGGGTAGGTAACAGCATTCCGTGCACCTTTGGCATTTAGTCATGCTGGCCACATGACCACGGAGACGTCTTCGGACAACACTGGCTCTTCGGCTTTGAAATGGAGATGAGCACCGCCCCCTAGAGTCAGGAACAACTAGCACATATGTGCGAGGGGAACCTTTACCTTTACCTTATGCATATGCAAGTATACCATATGTACAAGGAAATATAAACTTATACAAGGACAGCCGTGGAGGCTCCTGTGCCCTTCTCTTTGTCTCTCTAAGTAGTTTTTCAATATTAAACAAAACTTCACACACGGTTCTTTTCAGAAATGGACCAACGCAAGCTCTGCACCATCGTATCTGAAGCACAGCAGGCAGGAGAAAGCTGGCACGCAAATCTAAATCTTTATGAGAGTATCAAAATAGCATGCTTGAAAATGCCGTCTTATAATCACCGAAGCAGGAGAAAGGTTCCCCTTCTCCTGAAAGTCCCTTTGCAAATCTAAGCATCAAAAATGATATAGCGGCAGAGCTATGCAAACTTCTCCGGAGGTAGAAGTTACAAAAGAAGCCCACGTTTCTCTTCCTCGCACCTGAACCTATCAGTGAGAGAAGCAGGACAGAGATTGATAAGGAAGCCTAAGAAAGAAAATGGTCCTTAAGATGCCCCAGCTAGGAGCGGATGAGATTTCTAAATGGAAAAGCAATTGGGCTTGAATTGCAGCACAGCAACACTGCTTTGATTTTAAATTCTGATGGATAAATGTTCTGCTGCTGAGGTCTGCACATTTCATAAGGTTTATTATTCTATTACATTATGTTTTTGTTGGGTCTTTATTGTGGCAAACCTCCTGTGGGACAGCTTCTGCCCTTCAAAGGTGGCTTAGCAAAAAAACAACCAATAAAATGTTCGGTCTAAGTTCACAACTGCCTTCTTTGACTTCCACAAGATCAGAGCAATGATCTCACACTGGAAATCTTTTCCAAATGCCACCTCCGCCTCTAATGAGAGACCGACATTGCCACTCTGGCAAAGTGCCGCTCTCTTCCGCTACTATCTCCACATTCCTTCAAATTTCTTTTTTACTTATAAAAAAAAGAGAGAAAAGAGGGGCAACATAAAATAGCACAAATTAAATGGGGGGGGGGGAACGGACCTCCCACCACTTCACATAACTGCTGACTGGGAATCAGGCAGCCTCTAAATTATATAAATAGTTTGGTGCTCTAAATCTGACTGGCTGAAAGATAGATGCTGGGAATCCAAGAGTTAAAAACGACAAACTTAAATAGGGCTTGAAAGCTAGACAGTTTAGGCACAGTAGACAAACTAGCTCAAAACATAGAAATGTTTACTTTTGCATGGAAATTACATCTTTTTCACTTGGGATATTTTATGCATCAATAAATAATGTTTCTGCTTTTTATCCCGTAAATCACTTCAAATGGTTCTGGAGAGATCTGGTCCAAAGTGCACTCGTTTCAACTGCTGGCGTAAACCTTGGCGCATTTATGTTTCATATGTTGTATTCTTTAAGGGTCTCCTTTTTCTGACAACTTCAACGTATTTCTGATGCTGACTTCCCACTAGGGGAGACAGCCCAGTTTGTGGAATCTCAGCTGGTTGCTATGGTGATGTACTGTCACAGATAACAGCAATCTTAGGTAGAGAAGGAAGTAGAGGATACAATTTGTCAGACACAAAAGCCCTCGTGAATAAAGGAAGTTCGAAAAAAATTGGAGAATGGCAATGGCTAGGAATAATGAATTCTACAGAAGGTACGCCATTGTTATCTTCACACAATGGCCGGTCTTATAGCTTTGAAAAGCACTGTGTTGCTTCCTGAGATCATGAGGTAAAGGATTAGTAATTTCTTAGAGCAAAACCACTCCGGAGTCACAAGAAAGCCGAGAGGAATTCCACACTGCTTATGCTCCCTCAAATCAGACTGGCCAATGCATTATGGCAACATTCCCCCAAAGCCAAGTTTTTAAAAAGATACCCTTTCCAACACCAGCACTTTTCTATAGTAGCCAACACCTTTGCCAAATCATGGAATGCATTCCTGCATTGCACTCACATCGCTTCAAAATTAGCCCTGTATTTCCTTGGGTGAACACCTCTGCGGACCTACCTGAAAACCCTACAACAGAAGGGATGCTGCCTTGCAGCTCTGACACTGGGCAAGAGAAACAAACATAATGGACATCTGTAGACCATTGGCATCCTTCAGTCTCAAGAGACTATGGTATTGTGTTCTGGAAAGAGGTCCTAAAACAGCATCTAGTGTGACTAAAAAGGCCAATTCGAGACTGGCAATCTCTCCACACTGAGGGCAGATACATTCTGTCCCCTGCCCAGCCCCCAGATTTCGCTGGTTCCGGGACTGCCTCTTTGCCTCAGCCTGCCAAACAAGTGTCTCTTCGAATTGGAGAAGGCCATGCTGCATCTTTAGCCTCCAAGCTGAATGATCGGAGGTCAAGGTTTCCCAGTTGTTAATGTCCATTCCCAGGGCCTTTAGGTCCCTCTTGCAGATATCCTTATATCACAGCTGTGGTCTCCCTCTGAGGCGCTTTCCCTGCACTAATTCTCCATACAGGAGATCTTTCGGAATCCGACCATCAGCCATTCTCACGACATGCCCAAGCCAGCGTAGACATCTGTAGAGATTCTCAGTCATCCAGGTCATCCAACCATGACCTGGAGGACTGAGGATCTCTACAAAATTTTAGCTATACAATTTGGGATGAACACCCTTTGAATAGTGTGGGAGTAGGAATGGATTTCCAGAAAAGGGGGGGGGGGGACTGCAGGAACAGGAACCAGGAGTTTATCTGTGTCCTCAGGTGACCCTGAGGACACAGATAAACCTCCAAGTGCTTCAACGACCCTCTAAGATAAAGGTAAAGGTTCCCCTCGCACATATGTGCTAGTCGTTCCCGACTCTAGGGGGCAATGCTCATCTCCGTTTCAAAGCCGAAGAGCCAGCGCTGTCTGAAGACGTCTCCATGGTCATGTGGCTGACATGACTAAACGCCAAAGCCGCACAGAACGCTGTTACCTTCCCACCAAAGGTGGTCCCTATTTTTCTCCTTGCATTTTTTTACGTGCTTTTGAACTGCTAGGTTGGCAGAAGCTGGGCCAAGTAACGGGAGCTCACCCCATTACGCAGCACTAGGGATTCGAACTGCTGAACTGCTGACCTTTTGATCGACAAGCTCAGCGTCTTAGCCACTGAGCCACTGCTTCCCTCTTAACGACCATCTAAAAGGATGCAAATGACCAGCTGTCTGCAAGGAATATAAATCCTTCCATTTCCCACTATCCTGTCAAGAGCTGAAAAAGCTTCTTGGATGAGAAGCGAAACGTCTTCAAAGAAAAAAAACAAACAAGCAAGAAAGTCCAGTTGCCTCCAGAAAAAGTATCTTTGGGACAAACATAATGAACTTTGCTTAGTCTAAAAGCCCCCCAGAAGAGACTCACTTGTAAACATTAATGCATATTTGTTGTTTACACATAAAAGGAGCCAATGGAAGAAGCAACCCAGACAACAGTTCTTATGAGCCATTTTGCAGGTGAGCAATGCAGCAGGCTAGTAAAGCAGGTAAATAGTTCCTACAGTCAACCCATGTGGGTTCTCTGAAGGTATACAGTAAAAAAACCAAAACAAAGCTGACGTGACAACGCATTTTCATATAGCATATAGCAAATATTATAAGGCAATAAATAAAAATAAATAAGAACAACTTGTATTTACATTTTTATTCATGCATTTACATTTTTATCCATTTCCTGCTCTTTACAGCCCACCCCATTCTCAAGACTTGCTTGGCCATTGCAGGAAATGACATCCAAAGTGGGCCCAGCAACCTGGACGTGCATTGGGATATAATTCCACACATTCTGACCTTCTTCACAAAGCACGAAATCACAGTGGGACTTGCTTGTCCTTGGTTTCATGTCATGCGTGAACTCATGCATTACGGCTTCATATTTTGCATGAAGCCGGTTGCTTATTCAACAGACCATAAGATTCTTTAAAAAAAAAAAAAAAAAAAAGCTTCATGTCCTATCTGTGTAACAGAAATATGGCTTGTGAATTGTGTCACCTTACATTTGCTAAGATGCCGTTAAAAAAAAAAACGAGCAGGAGTTGGAACTGGCTGAAGACATGACTGCTGAAAAATTGATACCTTTATTTTTTGAGAGAGGCTGGTTGATTTTAATTCTATTTATAATATTTAAATACAGCAGCCTTCCCTGCCCGGTTACATCTTTCTCTCCTTTCTCCATAAAGGGTTAGTCTTCCTTTTTCCTACTTTACCAAAATAGCTACTAATAGTTCTTTTGTTCTCTGTATCCTGGGGTTTTTTTTAGTTCTCCTTTTGCTATTTCTGCTAGATTTATTTATGTATTTATATCCTGCCTTTACTATTTTTTTTTTTAAATAAATAACTTAAGGTGCCAAACATACCTAACATTTCTTCTTCCTCCTATTTTTCCCCACAACAACAACCTTATGAGGTGGGCAGAATTGAAAGGAGGTGACTGACCAGAATCATCCAACTGGCTTTCATGCCTAAGATGAGACTAGAACTCACTGTTTCCTAGTTTCTAACCTGGTGCCTTGTAAGTACTATACAAACCAGTGAGAATCATGCACTGGTCTCTTCCTCTCCCCTGCAGAAACAGGGAGGATGCTCTTTTCTAGGTGACACAGAGATGAGTAAGGAAAGCCATAAGCAGGGAAATATAGTAGAAAGTGAAATTATTGATATCTCCATCTTCCTGGACAGCAACATTGCTAGATATACAAAGTTGGCTCTCCTTGTACATTATCCCCCACACACACACACCTTAATAGGCTGGAAAGGTGAAAGGGAAGGAAAAGAGAGCCAGTTCGGTCTAGTGGTTAAGGCACAAGACTAGAAACCAGGAAACAGTGACTTCTAGTCCTGCCCGAGGCATAAAAACTGACTGGGTGACTTTGAGCCAGTCACTCACTCTCTTTCTCTCTCTCTCTCAGCCCACCTCACTTCTGAAGGTTGTTGTTGTGGGGAAAATAGGAGGAAGAAATAATATTGGCTATTTACCAATATCAGAGTTATTTATAAAAGTAATAAAGGCAGGATAAAAAAAACCCATCTTTTAAAAAATAATGCAATTTGCCATAGGGAAGATCTGCCGAAACAGCAGGCTTTCAAACATATAAGTTAGCAGCACCACAAAAGACCCGGTTTGTATGAAAAAGTCAGCAGGAGGCTCAGGATTGGAATTTGACTGCAGCGGTTTGAATGTCCTTTGGATATGCTGAAAGCATATTTTTCTAAACCAAAAGTCCCCAATAAGTTATGTTTTCTCTGAGAGTTAACCTTTTTTTCTTTGAGATGTAACAAATATTACTATTAATACATCCCTTAGTGAAACGATGCTGAAAAGAAAAACCTGTCAGATCTTAAATTTTCAATAAACCAAATCTTCGCCTCAGTACACATCGTTCTCCACCGGTTGCTTAGTGACTGAAGTTACAACAGATCCCAACACACACACACACACACACACACACACACACACACTCACACTCACACACACACACAAAGGCACTGGCAACCCAATTCCAAAGTTTGAACTGCTACCTCCCTCACGGTCACATGACCGCATTTTGAGTGCTGAGCAACCGCCCAAATTTATGGTCGTTTGCAACATCCCATGATCACGTGACCACAATCTGTTTTAGCAAAACTGGCATTTACTTACCGTATTTTTCGGAGTATAAGATGCACCTTTCTGCCCCCTAAAAGGGGGTGAAAATTTAGGTGCGTCTTATACACCGAATGTTGCCCTGCCCACCCACTGGCCTCCATCCTTTGGCCTCTGCCTCCCAGCAGTTTACCTCCTTGCAGCAAGCAGCAAGAAGAAACAGCTTGTTTCAGCTTCAGCACAGCCTAATTAGCACAAATTGATTGGATCGGCCTACCAACTCTCAGCTGTTTTGCGCAAGCCTCTATTGCTTGCTGCAAGGAGGTAAATTGCTGGCAGAAGATTTTTTTTTCCTTGTGCTAATCAACCTATTCTGAAAACAAAAATTTTATTTATTTATTTATTTTATCATATTTGTATACCGCCTTACTCCCGAAGGACTCAGGGCGGTGAACAGCCAAAATAAAATACAAAGACATACAAAAGTTAAAAACTATTAAAAACAGATTAAATAATTTAGGCTCAAAAACCAAATTAAGACATCCAATTTATCTAAAAAACATTTAAAACCCAATTTAAAAGGGAGAGTTAGGCCAGACCAGCCTGTTGGAATAAAAACGTTTTTAGGGTGCGGCGGAAGATGCGTAAGTCTTGGATCCTCCGTATCTCCCCCCGGGCGAACCTGATAAAAAGTCCTCCTGGCCACGGCCGCCATATGCTCTTCTAAAGACAGCCACGAGTCCAGGAAGATGCCCAAGTTGCGAACCCCATCTGTGGGGGCCAACGACTCGCCCCCAATAGTCAGAGATGGCCCCAACTGACTATATCGGGACGTCGGAAACCACAGCCACTCAGTCTTGGATGGGTTGAGCCTGAGTCTGTTCCTCCCCATCCAGATCCGTACGGCCTCCAGGCACCGGGACATCACCTCGAGGGCATCATTGGGGTGGTCTGGGGTGGAGATGTACAGCTGGGTATCATCAGCGTACTGATGGTACTTCACCCCAAAACCACGGATGATCTCACCCAGCGGCTTCACATAAATGTTGAACAGAAGGGGCGAGAGGACCGATCCTTGCGGCACTCCACATACAAGGGGCCTCGGGGTTGACCTCTGCCCCCGTCAACACAGACTGCGACCGGTCGGAGAGAAAGGAGGAGAACCACTGTAAAACAGTGCCCCCCATCCCCAACCCTTCCAACCGGTGCAGCATGATACCATGGTCGATGGTATCAAAAGCCATTGAGAGGTCTAATAGGACCAGGATAGAGGAGCAACCCCTGTCCCGAGCCCTCCAGAGATCATCAACCAATGCGACCAATGCCATCTCCGTGCTGTATCCGGGCCTGAAGCCCGACTGGAACGGATCTAGATAACTCGATTCATCCAGGTACTGAGGCAGCTGTCGTGCAACCACACTCTCAACAACCTTCACAACAAAGCTAAGGTTGGAGACAGGATGATAATTTGCTAACACAGCCGGGTCCAGGGAGGGCTTCTTGAGGAGGGGCCTCACCACCGCTTCTTTCAAGGCGGTGGGAAAGACACCCTCACTCAAAGAAGCATTTATAATCCCCTGGAGCCAGCCTCGCGTCACCTCCCGGGAAGCCAGTACCAACCAGGAGGGACACGGGTCCAATAAACATGTGGCCGCACTCAGTCTGCTCAGTATCCTGTCCACGCTTTCGGGAGTCACAGGATCAAACTCTTCCCATATAATATTCTCAGGACCTGCCCCTGTCATCTCCCCTGGATCTACCCAGTCAGAGTCCAGCTGTTCCCGAATCTGAGCGATTTTGTCATACAGATATTGTACAAAACGTTGTCATACAGATATTGTACAAAATCCTCAGCTCTACCCTCCAAGGGGTCGTCCCGCGCCCCCTGGGCGGCTGGGCGATTATCTGATGACGCAATAAGAGCAGAAAAGTAGTTACTCTTCTCTACTTTTATCGCCACTAGGTAATTCTTAATATGAGATCTTACCAGTGTCCGGTCGGATTCAGAACGACTAGCCCTCCAATTGCTCTCTAGGCGTCTTTTTCGGCGCTTCATCTCCCTCAACTCCTCAATATACCAAGGAGCCAGGTGAGATTGGCGCCGGGTCAGAGGCCGCAAAGGCACGACTCGGTCCAAAGCCCCAGCAGCCGCCCTATCCCAGGCGGCTACTAAGTCCTGAATGTAAAGCAGGCTATTTGCTGCAACGAGGCAAAATTGCTGGGAGGCAGAGGCAGATTTCTTTTTCTTGTTTTCCTCACCAAAAAAGGTAGGTCCGTCTTATAGTCCAGAGTGTCTTATACTCCGAAAAATACAGTACTTTATTTCAGCAAAAATGGCCCATAGCAAACAATGCGTATATTTAATGGTCGCCACGTTTGCTTAACTACTGCAGATTCACTTAATGACCGTACTGATTTGGTTAATGAGTGCTGCAAAAAATAGACTGTAAAATTGAGTCTGTCGCGTGATGATTGCTTCATCATGAGCAGGCTTCATTATGGTTGTAAGTCAAGGACCAGCTGTACGAGTTCTATCATTGCTATAACAATCCTGATTGCTTCTCGGATCTGTCTCACCTGACCCACAGCGGCCCCAATACTGCCGGTGCCATCCACAATCCCTGTCACAGTTGCAAGAGCCTCGCTACTTCCTTTGATCGCGTCCTGATGTCCCAGGTCTGCAGAAATGGCAGAGCTGATCATATTGGAAGGGCCTCCAATAAAAAAGCCTGCGAAAACAATCAAAAGAAAAATACAACTAAGAATGAGAAGATGGAGGAGGCGGGCTCTGTTTCCAATACAAAGCAAGGTTGTCTTCATCTGAACCTGCCACCTTGCCCCTTAACCAAAGAAAACTATCAAAAAGTCAGACCAGCCATGCATCCAAACATCAGTGGAAATATTGAAATGTGATGATTTAGTTTAGAGTCATTGTTAGTTTGCAATCACACAATCATTCCCCGTTGGCTAGGGAATTCTCGGACTTGAAATCTACACATCTTCAAGCTGCCAAGATTGAGAAACACTGGTCTAGACCAGGGGTCAGCAAGCTGCGGCTCTGGAGCCACATGTGGCTCTTTCACCCCTCTGCTGCAGCTCCCTGTCACTCAAAATATGCGTCACAACCACCAATGTGCGACACCAGCCAGCATGCGATTTATTGAGTTTTTCAACCCCCGGTAGGCCAACCAGGGATAAATCCAAGAAAAGAAAAGTTTCAGAAGAAAACAGAACATTTAATTCAATGACATATGCTAGTTTTGTGGCCGCTCAAAAAATAGTCAGGCACGGGAAGGGTTTTGTGGCTCCCGGTGTTTTCTTTTCTGTGGGAAACGGGTCCAAATGGCTCTTTGAGTGTTTAAGGTTGCAGACCCCTGGTCTAGACTATTGCCCATTCGCAAATCTTGCCCGTGCTTTTCTCATCATTAAGTTTTCATGGTCTAATGCAGGAGTTCCCAACCCCCGATCTGTGGACCGGCACCAGTCTGCAGCATGCCAGCAACCGGGCCACACAAATAAATGAAGCCCCATCTGCGGGATGCAGGCGGCACGCAAAACCATGGTCTGCGGAACCAGTCCCTGGTGCTCAAAAGCACCAGGGACTGGTGGTCGCTGGACAAGTGTCCCACCAGTAGATGGGAATTATATAACCGCATATGTGTTTGCTTCCTTCTCTCAAAGCTGCTGATTGTGAACTTCTGGAAGAAGGAAAAACAAAATTTACAGTATTCCCTGAATGCTATGGCAGTAGAATCTTGTAACAGACTAGACTTTAAATGATTGCTTCATATGTTGCAGTAAACCATGATTTTAACATTGAATAACCCATTTGGTTACAGAACATGCTGTTAGAAATCTGCTGGCTTGCAAATAATAGTGGTTGGGTTCGCCTATCACACTAGGCAAAGACCAACAAAACCAGACAGACTATGGCTGGAACCAGCGGGGGGCTTCAAAAATTTTAGGAAGGGGTTCTCTGCCTGGTTGCTGGGTGGGCTGGGTCTGCCTGGTTGCTGGGAAGGTCGTTTCTGCCCTTCCCGAACTTCCGGTAGGCCCATTTTTTTTTTTTAATTTGATTTATATGCCGCCCTTCTCCAGAGACTCAGGGCGGCTTACAATGTGTTCAGCAATAGCCTTCATCCTTTTGTATATTTATACAAAGTCAGCTTATTGCCCCCTCCCTGAGCCTCTGCGCGCACCCTGCACTTACCTGCATCCAAAATGAGCCACGTGGGAACTCTTGGGAGGGGCGGGCAGGATGGGCAGGTCCAGCCAGGAGTGGGATTTGGGGGTTCTCCGAACTGCACAGAATCTTAGCTAGAGGTTCTCCCGAACCCCTGCGAACCCCCAGCAGTCCACCCCTGGCTGGAACAAAACATTGAAACAAGCCGAGATATGACATGATGAAAACAGATGTTCTTTACTGTCTTTGAAAATATGTTGATCTTTTACCTGTAATTGCCATGATGACAGCATTGATAGGTTTGTTATTTGGGGAACCTATGAAAACAAAGAAAAGAAAAAGGTCATCATTCTTTTGGCCACAACAGATAAAAAGCTCAGGATGAAATGAAAAGCTGATTATAAAAGACCCTTTTCAAGATTATGCATTGGCATGGCATGTTAACAGTGCCTTAATCTTCTGCTGCAATAGAGTGTTTCTTTAACTTGGCCTTCACTGATGGTTAAGTATGCTTCCCTCTCAAAACCAGGGGAGAAAGATGAGGAAGCCAAGAGGTTGGTTGTATTCTGGCTGTATTTGGTTTGGTCCATAGTTGAATTGCTGGAGTAATTTTGGATCAATAAAACGTTGATTTGTTTGAATCTCCCTGAACTGGAATAGAACATCACTTAGCAAGGCAGCCAAGAACACTGGACTGAAAGGACCTTAGCCTCTCATAGATGAACCTACAAAACTGAAGGGAACTGCTTGTTCCCAACCTTACTGAAAGCAAGAATTCAGCAAAAGGGTTTTTGCCAAGCACTGATCTAATCAAGCGATATGGCCAAGAGTGAGTGAAGGAAGCTTGTAGTGCAATATTTCAATATCTATATCAGAAAGAGCCGACTTGGGGAGTCTCTATGAAACCTGAGATACATTATTCCAAAATAATAACAAGCTTTGCTTTTGCTTGCTGCTCTCACCCAGATTTTGAAATTTTGAAAAATCAAATTTTAAAGATTTTGAAATCTTTTGATTTCACCCAGAAAGGAGAAATCAAAAGAGGGCAGTCTACAGGAGCTCAATTCTGGAAATTATAGGGTTTCCAGCAAAATGATAGAAGCAATGGATTTCAATTAAAGCTTATGATACTTCAAAGCCATAATTATCCTAACAAATGACCAGTAGCAATACCACTACTCTCACTTGTGCCCCTGGCCTGAACACAGGCAATGCTCCAATAAAGGTACATCTGCACAAGTGCAGACAGTGCCCTCTACTGGAAAAGAATATTCTCCTTTTCCTTTCATTCCAGCACACAATGGAACACTCAGCTTGTGGGTCTCCCAGAAGCACCTGGCTCACCACTAATGAAAGCAGGAAAGCAGAAGAGTTTTACCTGCCCAGCTTATTCAGCAGGTTTCTTGTAATTTTGTTTTGAAGGTTGCTGAGAATACTATCTCTTATTAAACTCAAAAGCAGAGTTTATTTGCCAAGATGGCGCCACAGACAGCAGTCTTGGTGAATGCTCTCTGATAGTTTTTCATTCTTGATGAATGTATTTTATTCTCCTTATGTACACTGAGAGCATATACACCTGAGACAAATTTCTTGTGTGTCCAATCATACTTGGCCAATAAAGAATTCTGTTCTGTTCTGTTCTGTTCTGTTCTGTTCTGTTCTGTTCTGTTCTATTCTATTCTATTCTATTCTATTCTATTCTAATCCATTTCAATTGCTGACTTAATACGGTAAAGAAAACAGGCCCTCCCTATGTTTAGTGCATAAGATAAGGAGGCTAAAGCTCATCCCACAAAACCTATTGTGCAGGAAAGTACTCACGGCTGTATCCAAAGAGAGATCCAATAGCCAAGATGAGGCTAATAGCTAATACAGGAGCTCTTTTTTGTAGCACATCAGAGATAAAACCTTGGATGGTACCACCTGTAGAAATAATAGGAATAAAGACTATCAGAATAGATTGTAATCATTATAAGCAAAAATGCACACCCAGAACCAGCATTTATTACTTTACTGTTTTTACAATGTTGGAAACTACCCAGAATCAATGGATAGTGAGATGGGAGGCAGTATAAATTTAATCATTTTTTTTTTAAAGCACAATTGGCTACAAATTTAGCTGTCTGTCTTTCATACATTGTGTTGACTGGAAGATTCTTCAGCTACTGTTCTAAACCATTTTTTTCCCCATTTTGGTTTTCTCCAAAATGAGACGTTTTTACAGACAGCAACACTACTGCTAAGAATTATGGGAGTTGAAGATGGGGGATACCCAAGTGTGGGGAAGCTGCTGTAGGCAATTAGATTGGTATAATGCCAGTTTGATATAGTGATTAAGGTGTGGCCTAGAAACCAGGAAACTGTGAAACTTACGTCATGAAAGCCCACTGGGGGACTTTGGGCCGATCACCAGAAGACTGTGAGTTCTAGTCCTGCCTTAGGCATGAAAACCAGCTAGGCGGCTTTGGGCTAGTCACTTTCTCTCAGCCCACCCACCTTATAGGATTGTTGTTATGAGGTGTGAGGAAGAAGTATTATGTAAATTCACCGCTTTGAGTTACTTATAAAATAACAAAGGCAGGATAAACTCTAATAAATAAATACATTTGACATCTGCCAGATCCTTTGGCCTACTACATCCATCATCACTTTGCCTGTCAGTCACTAATTGGTAAGACAAGCGGTGTCTACTTAGTTTCAAACTAGAATTCTCACCCACACCCTGTTCTAATCCCACAATGAACAGAAAATGAAATGTAACAACAAAAAGAATTTGTCTTTTGCTCCATAGTCATACCTATAATGCCTCCAACATCATACCAGATTGAGAGCTGGTCGGCTTCTGCCTCCTTCCAACCAAAATTGTTGCTGAGGTAGAAGGGCAGCCAGAAGAAGAAGGAGTAGTTCACTAGCTTCAGGCAAGCATAGGCCAAGGAATACTGAAACGAATAAATACCATCCCAAAAGAAAAACTATTAGAATCACAACAATCCAAGCTGAGCCAGCGTGGCTTTGTAATTCTATAATGCATAGAGCAGAGGTCTCCAGTCTTGGCAAATTTAAGGCTTAAGAATTCCCCAGCCAGCAGATTATACCTTTATTAAAGCTATAGGATGGGTACAAGTGAGAGTAGTGATATTGCTACCATTCAGTTCTTAGGATAATTATGACTTTGAAGTATCATAAGCCTTAGTTCAAATTCCTTACTTCTGTCCTTTTTCTGGATCCCTGTAATTTCTAGAATTCAGCTTCTGGAAGTGGTCCTCTTGATTTATTTCTTTTTTCCCAAGTTTTTTATTTTTTTAAAGACAAACAAACATACAATACGTTTTTTCTGAATAGAGTATTGACAGAGTCAAAATTCATACAGCTTATTTTCCCCAAATTTGATTTATATATTTCAATTTCTGCCATTGTATTCCTTTTCTACTTTTCCCTTTTTCATCTCTATTTTATATTTAATATATAATCAATATTACCATCTGCCCTAACCTCCTAATCTTAATCTTATTTCATTTCCTTCTTTTATTTCTCCCTTTATCACATATATTTTTCAATATTTCTTTGTTCTATTGAAACCCTTTAATTTACACACAATCCTTTTTTAATATTTCACACTTATTTCTTAATCTCCATTGTTTTCTAAAAATGGACCAGATTATCATGTTTTATTTCTATATTAATCATTTTACCATTTTATCAATATATTTCTTCAAATTTATTTTCCACACCATCTTTTTTTAAAATAAAACTATCTTATTTCATTTCAATTTCATTCAAATTTCCATTTCACCTTCTAAATAAACCCCTTATCATCATATCAAATCATAAACCTATCTTCCATTTCCATTTCATTTATATATATATATATATAGATATTTAAATTGCCAAAGTTGGCCAACTTAAAGTGAATCAGGTTCAGATTTTTCTATTCAAGATCTGACACTCTATCTCAGGGATGCCTGGCATAGACTGTCACATCTTGAATAGAAAAATCTGACCCTGATCCATTAGGAAACACGTTGGATGAACTGGAATCAGTCATTGCCTGTCAGTATAACTCAATGCGCCAGTATGAGGAGAAAAAAAAAAGGGAAGCACTGCCCAGCTTTCTTAAAAATGCAAATGAGTGACACTGTCTCTTGTCACAAGATCTACGCAGCATTATTTAATAGTGACTAGGTCGGTGAGTCTCAATCTCAACTTTAAGATAGGTGGACAACTCCCCAGAGTTCTAGCTGGGGAATTCTGGGAGTTAGAGACCCACACATCTTAAAATTGCCAAGATTGAGAAATACTGCAATAGGTAAACTTTAGGGGCAGATGGGACACTTTTGGAAGCCGACAGTATGTAACGGGATTCTCAAGGGTAATGTGGCACACAGCCGGTCACAAACCACACATTGACAACGCAGCAAACTTAATTAGGTTGGTGGTATTCAGCCGGTTCTATCCGGTTCGGGTGAACCGGTAGCGGCGGCTGCGGGAGGCTCCGCCCACCCACCTAGACGTCATCACATCCCGTTTTTGATGCTCTGCAAATTTGCAGAATGTGCATGCGCAAAAGTGGCCCCTACGTGTGTGCACACATTTGCGAACTGGTAGCGAAGGTAAGTGAATATCACCCCTGGTTGCTCCTCAACACTCCAAGATATTGTCTATCACTTCACTTACTTCTGTCCTTTTTTTAGGGGTTGGGGGGGAGACAGGCTGACATATTGCTAAGCTAAGAACTGGGCTGCAGCTGTCCACTGTTCCTTTCCTTCGATTTCCTCTTGCCCTATGTGAGCTCTAAAGATATTCCTAGAAATAAAAACGATGCTTTGCAGCATGCCAGCTTCTGTTTTTATTTAAGTAAAACTTTCTTGACTTAAAATATCAGAGGAGAAAAGGAGATCGGGGGGGGGAGGAGGAGGAGAGAACCAAGACAGTGTCCTTAAAAATACTTGTGCCCATAGATACAATGGGATCTTGTTTCTTAGTAATAAAAAAAAAAATCACTATAAGGGGATAACAACAATCACCTTACCAATAATACGCCGGGTAGACAACACGCCTGAAAAAATCCAATGGCCTGGGATGGGGCATTTGTACCACTGCTTAGGTTTGATGCCTGAATGGTGTAATTCTGCTCATCGAAATCTTCGTTCTCGTGGCTGCTAATTAATGGCTCAGTGGCATCTTCCTCAACAGCTTCACCCTCCCCTTCTTTGCCAATTTCAGGGAGGCCTAGGAGAAATCACAGAAAGGCGACTTAAAAAACAAAGGAAAGGAGAATCCCCTCTGCTCATGCCTGCTCTTTTGAGCTATGGTTCCTCCCTTCTGAATCGGCTCCCTTGCGCTCTCTCTCTCCCTCTTCCTTTGGCTTAGAAGTGCTTCTGGATGGTGCTCTGCAGAAACATCCAATTTGTATCCCTGGTCTTCTAACACTCTCCAAAGAATCCTGTCTGATCCTGACGGCGTCTCTGCTGTATGTGTCTGGCCATTACTTGCAAGACCCAACGAATTAGTGCAGGGGTCCTCAAACTTTTTAAACAAGGGGCCAATTCACAGTCCCTCGAACTATTGGGGGACCGGACCAGCTGGGAGGGCGTGGCTAGGTGGTCATGTGACCGGGTGGATGTGGCCAATTTAGCAGTCCATTAAACAATACACACAAATTACACTTTAATTTGTTATGCTCCTGGGAGCGGAAAGCAGGTTAGTGAAGGGATGTGGCTGCCTTGAGGTGTGTTGAGGGACTTGTTTGTGTGTCTTTCTGTGTTCTCTCTCTCTCTCTGGAGGCTGGGGAGGCCAAAAACGGGCCCATTTTTGGCCTCCTCAGCCTCAAGTACCACTCTGCTGCCCAAAAACAGGCCCATTTTTGGCCTCCCGAGGCCTCTGTGTGTCCTGTTTTTGGCTGCTTCGGCTTCCAGAAGGTGAATGGGGGCCAGCAGGTAGGTGGGGTGATGTGGACGGGGCAGCCTTGTGGTCCCACATGGGCTGGATCAATGGCTTCGGCAGGCCGTGTATGGCCCGCAGGCCGTAGTTTGAGGACCCCTGAATTAGTGCATTCCCTTTAGGGCAAGAGGCAGACTTCTCCAACTGCAAGACCAGTACTACTACTTACAGTAGTAGTAGTGAATAAATTTGCACTGCAAATAAACTTGCAGTGTGAATAAATTTACAGTATTACTACTACTCGTAGTCCTCTTGGACTACTGTAATGCACTGCACATGGGGCTGCCCTCGAAAAATAACTAGAAGCGTCATCTGATATTAGAATGCAGCATTGTGGGTGGTTACAGATTCTGTAACAGCTTTGTTCCCTATGCCATCCATCTGGTAAACTTGCAAGATTCGTTTTTCTCGCCATGTACATATATACACCCGAACTAGACCGTGTTGTTTCTCTGTGTCATAGAATAATATGTGTGGGTATGTGGATATATGCATATTTATTTGTCATGTTTTTTAGTGTATATTGGAGATGGTGACCCTTTGAGAACTGCATGCAACGAAATTTCATTTTAATGTATGCCGATTAGTGTACATTCAAAGTGACAATAAAGTTACTCTAAGTCTAAGTTATGAGTGTTACTAGAACACATATTTTACCTCTGATCCACAAGCTGTATTGGTAACCATATTAATGTTTAGTTTTGCTGTACACTAGAATCACTTGTTTGTTAGATGGGTGGCATTATTTAATTTGATAAATATATACCGTTTCAAAGTTTGGATGCCTGACTCTACCAGCCGCAGTTCTAAGGGGGAGATGAGACTTGAAGAAAGATGCCCTACAATAAAGGTAAAGGTTCCCCTCGCACATATGTGCTAATCGTTTCCCGACTCTAGGGGGCGGTGCTCATCTCCGTTTCAAAGCCAAAGAGCCAGCACTGTCCGAAGACGTCTCCGTGGTCATGTGGCCGGCATGACTAACCACCAAAGACGCATGGAATGCTGTTACCTTCCCACCAAAAGTGGTCCCTATTTTTCTACTTGCATTTTTTACGTGCTTTCGAACTGCTAGGTTGGCAGAAACTGGGACAAGTAACGGGAGCTCAACCCATTATGCGGCACTAGGCATTTGAACTGCCTACCTTTCGATCGACAAGCTCAGCATCTTAGCCACTGAGCCACCGTGTCCCACTGCCCTACAATAGGTGTTTACAATCCAGTTTCAACATCTGAACAAATTAACTCTTCCTCTGCAAACATAAAAATGTAAGGATGCAGATACTGTGTTCCTTTACAGATGCCGTCACTGAACTTGCCAGGTCCTAACAATGAAAGCGTTTTGGTAATCACAAGAATGAATAGATTGCAATAAAATAAACATCCCAGTCTTATACCCCACTAGCAGCCACTCCCCCTAAGTGGCAAGAGGTGAACAATAAAGCCCCTTTCCCAAGCTTACAAGGAAATCAGTTGCCCTTTGGTTCTTCCCTTCCTATCTAGAACATCTAAACCAGGGGTCACCAAACTTTCGGACCTCAGAGACCACTAAATTCATAATTGTAAATCCCGCGGACCACTAATATGAATTTTTTAAAAGATAGATAGTATTTAGTGCAATATAAAAAATGCAAATAATTTTTCTGTGGACCACCAAAAATTTTTCACAGACCACCAGTGGTCCATAGACCACCAGTTGGTGACCGCTGATCTAAACCACCTTTTTTAGGTATACAGAAGATGGTATATATAACAGCCACACTTTGGATTCATCGCAGAGATCTGCACACTCACGAATCCATTGAGGCTGCCTTACATCAGGATAGAAATCCCATTTTATCAGATGCATCCAGGGTTTCCTGTTGTTTTTTTTCTCCATATGCAGCACTTGCCAAAACATTTTTAGGCTTTGGAGTCAAAGGCATAGAGCCCACTTTGAAGAACTTTGCAACCTCATCTGCCTCTTGGAGGTATGATGACCAAAAATGAACTCTAAGGAAGTTGCTCTGAAGAACTCAGGTGTAATAAAATGTGAATCTACCAGGCCACAACAGTTCCATTAAAAGTTAATTCTGTACTGCGAGTCATCAGCCTGGTTTCCAGATGCGGCATTGCAGGTGTTTTGTCAAGCGAAATGTTGGTATGGTTTTATTACTGCCATATTATTGTTGTTGCAGTTGCCTTTTTAGTTATGAAGTTCAAAAAAGTCCTTCTATGTGCATACCATTTTGTTCTTCTGTTGACCAATTTATTTATTTATTTTTTAAATATACTTTATTAGTTTTTAAAATTTTTACAAAACAAAACATCGAATCTCTGCTAACGTCTGAGGTGTCGTGTAATTACATATTTACATTATAAGCATATCTAATGCATTCAAATCTACCATTATTAAACAATAAACGTAATCTTACGATCTCATTCTATTCTTCCACCATTGGTACCACCACAATCGAGCCCAAAAGTTATGTGGTTAAATGAGACATTTGTTAAGTGAACTTTGCCCTGTTTTATAACCTTTCTTGCCTCAGTTGTTAAGTGAATCATTGCAGCTCATAAGTTAGCAACCCAGTTGTTAAATGAATCTGGCTTCCCCATTGACTTTGCTTGTCAGAAGGTCGCAAAAGGTGATCACACATGACCCTGCAACACAGCAACTGTCATAAGTATGAACCAGTTGCCAAGCGTCATTATGGGGATGCTGCAAAGGTCATAACTTTGAAAAACGGTCATAAGTCACATTTTTCAGTGCCGCTGTACCTTTGAACGGTCACTAAACGAACTCTTGTAAATCGAGGACTACCTGTTAATGTTTAAAACTGAAAAAAATCTTGCCCGTAATGCCAGTATCTAATGAGGTTTTTAATATTTAATTTAATTAAATATTTAATATGGATTTTGAGTGGCGTGCCAAGTCAAAAATTAACTCTGCGCTTCAAGGTTTTGGTTATCACCTTTAGAGCGCTCCATGGCTTAGGACCTGGTTATTTACGGAACCACCTGCTACCACCAATAGCCTCGCACCGACCAGTACGCTCCCATAGAGAGGGACTCCTCCGGGTGCCGTCGGCCAAACGATGTCGACTGGCGGCCCCCAGGGGGAGAGCCTTCTCTGTGGGGGCACCTACTATCTGGAACGAGCTCCCCCCTGAGATACGGAGGATCCCGGATCTGCGTACCTTCCGTCGCGCGCTTAAGACCTTCCTATTTCATCAAGCCGGCCTGACCTAAGTCTTTCCCCTTTTTAAATGGAAATTTTAAATCTGGTTTTAAATTATTGGGGTTTTAAATTTGTTCAGCCAAATTATTTAATTCGTTTTAATCTATTTTAAATTCTGTATTTATATGTTTTATTCCTATGGCTGTTCACCGCCCTGAGTCCTTCGGGAGTAGGGCGGTATACAAATTCAATAAATAAATAAATAAATAACTATGCACCATTTGCAATTTGGGTTTGCGAGCAGCAAAAACCAAACAAGTCAAAAAGTGCTTCTACTTACCTACTTCTTTGGGAGAAATCACAAGGCCAAAAAAGACAATAACTCCTCCAGCAAACTGTACTGATGCCGTCACCAAGAAGGCATACTGAAAGGGAAGGATGAAAAAACACAATTAAGATATTACATGGGTATCTCTTGGATTTTCTCATCTTAAGTCAAATAATTAGTTCTTCTGGTATTTTATTTTTGCTTGTATAGAAAGTCCCAAAATATTTTATTGGAAGGCACAGAGAAACACTGATAAGCTTAATAAATAAAACACACAATTCATGCTCAAATATGACTGGCTCCAATCCAGGTAGGACAATGGCAGGAAGCCTCACCCACCTCGTAGCCATACTGCAGAACCGATGAGGCAAGAAACGCTCCAAGGATATTACCCACTGATGCACAAGCACTCCAGAGTCCAAAAACAAATCCTCTCCTGAATGTGAAATTAAAAAAAAAAAAAGATTAAGTTGGGCAAAAAAAAAAAAAATCTAAAGCAGTTAGTCTCCTTTAACAATTTGAACAAGGCAGTTAAAAGACGAATGGCGGTAGATGCAAGCATTTAGTATTGACTCGTCAAAAAAAACTATTTTAAAATTCACTTCCCTCAAACAACATTGCATGCACGAGTTCAGTCTTACAAGTTGATTTATTAGGACTATGACAGCATTGCTACTATAAAGGAGCCATGGTGGCGCAGTGGTTAAATGCAATATTGCAGGCTAATTCTGCTGACTGACAACTGCTGACAGTTCGATCCTCACCGGCTCAAGATTGTTGGGGGAAATATGCTGATTCTGTAAACTGCTTAGAGAGGGCTGTAAAGAACGGTGAAGCGGTATATAACTCTAAGTGCTACTGCTATTGCTATAAAAAGTTACACCATAAAAAGTGAAGAACTTTCTAATGGAAAGTTTTTGATACCAAGCCCTTCGAAGTACTCTGGGCAGGATGGTACACCAAGTGTGTTATCATGCCTACATGTCTTGTTTGTTTGAGCATAATTTTCAGACCCAGAAAGGGACAACTGAAAATAATGGATTTAAGAATTGCAGAAGAATGAGAAGCCATCATTTGGATTAAAAAAAAAAAACTTGAATAACTGAAGTGCATTTATTTGATTTAAAAAGTTAATGTGTAAAATAGCATATGCTGTATGGGGAAAAAAAAAGTTCTACCCAAAAATTAAGAGGTGGGATAACCTGAGGATGTTGCGCAGCCTGTAGCTAGATCTTAATGTACAGACATAGCCTATGCATAACAAGAATATACAGATACGTTTTTCTGATCGCTCATGATCCTGGAGGTAAGCGATTAAGAAAATAAGAAGAGATATGAGACACAATGGCTTTGAAGTCATAGATAGACCCTGCATTTAATTGCTCTTCAGGCAGCTACTTCTAAACATTCTGGAGCAGCAGAATTTACCGGGGTGGGGTGGGGGGTGGGGTGGGGTGGGGGTGTTTATTTATTTATTGGTTCGATTTATATGCCGCCCTTCTCTGGACACTCAGGGCAGTTTACAATGCGTTAAGCAACAGCCTTCATACTTTTGTATATACCTGCTTAGTAGGGCTTTCTGGGCCCCCTAAGCGGTGTTCTTTTTATACAAAGTCAGCTTATTGCCCCCACAATCCGGGTCCTCATTTTACCTACCTCGGAAGGATGGAAGGCTGAGTCAACCTTGAGCCTGGAGAGATTTGAACTTGCAGTAATTGCAGGCAGCTGGCAGCTAAGTGCTACTTAACAGCACTTTAGTCCGCTGTGCCACCAAGACTCTTTCCGTGTTGCTCATGCTCTTGTTATCTCCCAGTCAGATTCAACCATCCAGACCATCCAGAAACTTCCGCTGATCTAGAATAGCAGTCCTCATGTTCAATGGCCAGCTTTGGTACTGCCAAGTTGTACCACTCCTGCGAGAGGTGCTTGAGTGTTTCTGAATGCAATTCAAGATGCTGGCTGATACTTTTAAAATCCGAAATGGTTCAGAGCCTGAGCATTGAAGATACCACCTTTCTCATATAGATTCCTTCCATTCAACATTGGTGGCCAGAGGGGCTTTATCTAAGAGAAGCGGAGGAGAATGGGCTCAACAGTTAACCTTCTCAGCAGCAGTTCCCCTCCTGAGGAATAGCTTGTCCCCGGACATAAGGATGGTCCTCACACCAGTGGTGGGTTGCCCCTGGTTCGGACCGGTTCTATAGAACCGGTAGTAAAACCGGCTGGAGGCTCTGCCAACTGATCCGGTCGTCATCAGAAGCTTCTGCACATGCGCAGAAAAGCACACGCACGAGAGCAAAGCTAGCGCACACACGCGGGCACAATGCGGACCGGTAGTAAAGGTAAGTAGAACCCACCCCTGCCTCACACATATTCATAGAGATGTTTCCTTGCATATTTATCACATCAACATGCAAGACAGACTTCTGTTATAATCCTTTATATTCTTCATTGTAGGCTATTTGTTGCTGCTATCTTAACATCTATAAACCTAGAGTCCATGAGAATCGAGGCACTAATACACCTTAAATAATTGAACACTAGCAGGCAAAAACCTTGTTAAATCTACTGATTCTTTTCTAAAAGGACAACCAGCCTTTGTCCTTATAAATAGGATAAAGGATACAATTTTACATTTTCATCTTGGCAGGAATGCAGCCCGACCAACTATGATCACATGGCCGGGGCGAGTGAGTTCAGCAAACAAAACAATGTGGACACACAAGCAACACATGTTTAACAGGAAGAGGAGCCTTGCACAATAACCGCACAGTGGAGAGGAAAGCCGCTACAAAAAATATGTACAAGGGGAAGAACCAACTTTTGCATACCCAGCTTTGCCAAACCAGTTTCCCATGACAGCTACCACACAGGGCCAGCCCGTGGACTGCAGCAAGCCATTCACAATCCACAGGCAGCAGTAGAACCACTTGTTGTAGAAATGCAGCCATTCGGTGACAGTGCCAAACACAAACACCTAAAAAGAAACGACAACAAGAAGAAATTGAAGTGTCGATCCCAAATTAGACTGGCAAATAAATCCACAATGCTTTCTGGCCATGCTCTATATTATTTATAGGCTACAAGTTAAGATCTATCTGAAATGATTTGAAATGATTTTAGTTCATCACAGGAAATAGCTATTCACAATTCAGGAGATAGGTGCCAAATGCTTTCTGAGAATGTAAGGCAGAAGGGAAAATTGTCCATAATTTAAATAAGGCCTGGCTTAAAAGAAAGAAGGAATTTCACTCACATGGTATTCGCTAATGATTTACACATTCAAAACAACATCTTTAATTACTACGGCAAGAAAACTTATTTTAGTAATTTTTCTTTCTATGTCTGTTACCAAACAGAAAACTGCATTTTTCCAAGCACAAGCTTCAGTATACAGAACTTGCACATCATTAACTTTTTAAAACACAATAACAACTATAACTTGCAATAAAATGGTTTCAGCAACAAGTATCCTAGTCCATTTCTTGTTCTGCTCTCAAAAATATTTTAACAAGCTGAAATCTTAAAAATATTTTATTAAATAAATGAATCATTTGGCTATATGCCTTCATATCATTTGGCTATATGCTACCAAGGCAATGGCGACATCAATGGCGAACAAGGGTGAATGCAGCCTGGATGCGTTGACAAGAACGCATCCATTGGTGTGGTGGGATTCAGCCGGTTCTGTCCGGATCGCGCAAACTGGTAGCAGCGACTGCGGAAGGCTCCGCCCACCCACCCAGATGTAATGTGCGACCACTGTACACGCGCAGAAGGATCTGATGCTCACATTTGCGAACCGGTAGGGAAGGTAAGTGAATCCCACCTTTGATCCACCCTGTTGCACTGTAGGGCATTGAATGCTGGGCAGCAACAACAGGGACCGAAAGCTATCTCCATGCCATGGAAATGTGAATGCTGTTGGATATCGGGCATCTCCCTTCTTGACCTTGACATCACAAATGACATCATTCTACAGCATTTTGGTGTAGCATCAATTATAGAGAAGTTTAGAGAAGGGCGGCTCTGCTGGTATGGACATGTCCTGAGAGCAGCACCTTCCACCATTGCCAAGACTGCCTACCAACTAGAAGTCAATGGCCGGTGACCTCATGGGTGTCCAAAACAGAGATGGCAAGACACCATCAACAAAGACATGCAAGCTGCGGGCCTGCGCCCTGAAGACGCAGCTGACCATGCAAAGTGGCGTTCAATGATCCGAAAAGCAGGTCCTGCACTTGCAGGAATATGCTAGGAAGAAGAATAATGAATCATTTGGCTATAAGGTGCAATCCCCAGGACAGACACATCAAAATGTTCAGTCCATGCATTCTTTTATAATACTGAAGATCCTACTGAATTTCTTGAACGTAATATCTTCATTTACTTAGAAGTGATTTCTGAGGAAACGTTACAGATATTCAAAGTCAAATACTACCCAGGATAGCATATTTTCCCAACTTTGATTTTCCAACTTACCACTAAGGCAGAGGAGCACATCCCAAATGCCAGAACCCAGCGCATGTTCAAGCGATCTCCAATAATACCACTAACAAACAGGCCCTAAAATAATAGTTTTAAAAATGGTTATTCAGTAAGAATCAGCTGAAGAAAGTTGTGATAGTCAATAAAACTATTATTCTTTTTTAAGGTCATATTTGTCATAAAGTCATACAATTCAGATGAGGTTGATTTCAAGCCCTGTAAAATTAATAACTAAACTATGCAAAATATTGTCTGCCATTGAGCCAGTATTAGAATGCAGTACTGCAAGCTACTTCTGCTGCCTGCTGGCTGCCTGCAGTTTGCAGTTCAATTCTCATCGGCTCAAGGTTGACTCAGCCTTCCATCCTTCCGAGGTGGGTAAAACAAGAACCCAGATTGTTGGGGGAAATACGCTGACTCTGTAAACTGCTTAGAGAGAAGTGTAAAACACTATGAAGTGGTATATAAGTGCTATTGCTATTGGAATGACATAGATCCTGTCATCTCTGAGTGAAGGATGCTAAAATCTGAGAGAAAAACAGCAGAAAAAAAAAAAAAGAAATGCTCAAGGAACAACTTTTCACATTCCATATGTTCTGAGAACATGATCTCCAGCACAAAAAATGGAAAATACCTCATTACTGTAAAGTATTTGGCGGTGGGGGGGGAGGGGAATGAGACAAGTATACGATTAGTATACGATTCTGCCCACTTGAAAGATTCATCAAGATTTTTATACAAGAAAATGAGAGCACTCAAAAATTACTGTTCCTGTAGATTACCATACATTTTTCAAAACGGATACCTATCCAGTGTAGGGATCTGCCTGTCCTCCTAGCAGCAAATGATGGAATTGCAACCAATTTGGCATATGGTTTGGTTCAGGGGTGGGTTCCAAATCCCATTGCTACTGGTTCGTGCGCGGGGCGTTTCTGAGGGTGGGCGGAACGTCCCTGCCACTGCCGCTACTGGTTCGCCCGACCCGGTGCGAAACGGGAGCAAGCAACCACTGGTTTGGTTGTTGGATTGAACAAGTGAGACTTAACTTCAAATTCATGTTCAGTTGTGAAAACTCGCTGGGACTGTTATTGTGGGAACTATAGGACAGAGAGCACTGGGTATGCTTCCTTGAGTTCCTGGATAAAAAGTGGGATATAAACTAGCAAATAAATAAGCTCATCTAGAAGGAATGGATCAGGGAAGGCTGCAGCAGGTAGCCTGGAGATTGATGCTTTCTTTTCATGTCTGGTTTTTTTTTTGGCACAGCATAAGTAATCAATGCTGTACCATTTTGTTATACTCAAAAACTGCAATATTAACTAGATTTTGGCTGGATTCACATATGGTATTATGCTATAAAATGGTTTCTTTGGCTCTGGCATATTGTGTGATGGAAACCTAACAACTGCATGAGCCATGTTTTGTAGCTTAATGTGTTAGACAAAGCTAATCCGTTGCAGTTTATTGAGCAAACTATGATGAAACAACCTGGTGTTTAACACCACGAGCTAATAAGAGACAATCAATATAGCAGGATCCAATTTGGGTTGGTCGCTGAGACTAGAGGTTTAGCCCTATCAGCTTTTGGACTTGTGCTGGAGCCCATCCTCAGGGAACTTCTCTCTCACCAGAATATGTGAGACGGAAGTTCCCTGAGGATGGGCTCCAACATGAGTCCAAAAGTTCAGAAGACTAAATCTCTGGTCCCGGTGACTGACCCAGATTGGTTCCTGCAACATTATTCTGGGACACATATATTTGCCTTCATTTGTGACATCTATAGCTTTCCAATAAAGCAAGCATGGAATCTTTGCTCAGTGGTGAAAGCATGCAAAAGATCCCATTTTCAATTATTTCTTTGTAAAGCTAAGAAAGATTTAAGAGAGTCCTGTAATTATAGGCAACCTGTCATCCAACTCCCATCAATTCTAGCAATGCAAAATCTTCTAAGGTGAACTCCAGCGTGTCTCATAGTGAAGGGTGATGGAGGCTGCGGTGGAAAAACACTTGGAGACCTTGGTAAATGATACTGAGCTGCATAGATCAATGCTAATCTACACCAAGTTACCCTATAAAATTAAACGCTAGGTTGAATCTGATGGATTTAATCTTCCCCTTTCTTCAAAACTCAAGAACTATTCGAAGAAGGAGAATTTGCTCACCATAGCATAAGAAAACAGGAAGATGGTATCCAATGTTCCAAGAAATAATGTAGCTTCTTCAGCATTAGGAAATAGATGACTGCTGTTCCAAAGCTACGAAGAAAAGTCAGATTACCATAAAATGAGATGACAGATAGGTAGATAATACAACATAGCCCCATAAATATTAAACAACACCCCACTTAATGTCTTTAGTCCTTAGATTCCAGCCATGGTTATTTCTGAAACCATGTAATCCAAATCGCCGCACTAAAGGCTAGGAGATAAAGTGTTAAATCAGAAGTCTTCAAACTTGGCAGCTTTAAGACTTGTGGACTTCAACTCCCAGAATTCTCCAGCCAGCATAGTATTGCTGGCTGGAGAATTCTGGGAGTTGAAGTCCACAAGTCTTAAAGCTGCCAAGTTTGAAGACCTCTGTGTTAAATTTATCATCCCACTCAAGCTATTTAAGACACACAGAAACCCAGCAATCCTGACTGATCATATTCATAGTACTTTCTGGTAAAACAGAATTTTTAAAAAGCTCCCTCTCCAGTTTCACTTCTACAAAAAAGAAAGATTTCCAGTTTCTGAGACAGAGAAGTTCCTTCGGTAAGAACTGCGTCCATCTGGGTTTCTGTAGAAAGTATCATCATTAATTAGCTTGCTAAACAGAACTTGACCATTTCTCGTGAATGAGTCAGGGTATGTTGCAAAGTGAAAAGAAGAAAGCTTGAAACTGGAATATCTAATTTACAATATATCGTAAATGCTTCCTTTAATTCTCATAGGATCACCTCCTAATCAGGGAACATAGCAGCTTGCCCTGCTACTTCTTGTTAATGGAAAACGCCAGTGTTTACAGAGTAAAGAACACTCCTAGAAAGCATATCACTAGAAAAAGAAGACATCACACAATTCCCTTTCCCCTGGTTTGCCAAAGCTTAGCTATACTTAATCTATCCAGCATCAATCCTCAGTAAATATTTAATGGAGTCAAGGTTACCTCTGAACACTTGTCTATATATATATATAAAAAAAAATGGCATGATACTGGTCTAACAAGACTGGATTTCAAAAGCCAGTTCTTCGCATTAGAGATGTGAGAAAGAGAATTAATGACTTTCCAGATCCTGCTGCACTACAATTCCAAGAAGCCCCAGATTAAAAAAAAACCACAGATTCGTTCTCCTGCTTTTGATTTCTGTTCCCTTGAGCCAATGTAATATCTAGAAATTTGCAGGTACCATGTGTCTAGAATGTAGATCAGACCAAGAAACGAACTCCACATTAAGATAACAGAATCATATAAGCCTACTTATACTTTACCTCAATGTTTCTCAATCTTGGCCACATGAAGATGGCGGGAGAGGACTTCAACTCCCAGAATGCTGGCTGGGGAATTCTGGGGTTTGAAGTCCACCAGGGGTGAAATGCTCTGAAGTCTGCTACCGGTTTGCTTTGCGCGCTTTGCGCGTATGCGCATCGCAGGCGCTATAAAGCCTTTTCTGAGTATGCAAAGGTAAGTAGAAGAGGGGGGAGGGGGAAAACAGCTGTGCCGCGCGATTTAGATTCGCTAGAAAGCAGGATTTCCTGCTTTCTAGCAATATAAATCGCGCGGCACAGCTGATTGTCACACAGCTGATCTTCGGAACTTTTTAAAAACTTTTTTTAGCATTTCTTTATTACCGGTTCCGGAGAAGAAGAAACAATTAAAAAAAAATCTTCCTACCTTGATATCCCTCACCCAACTCTTGTTGGCTTGCTTGTTCTGTAGGTCAACCCTCTGGAGAGATGTTAATTTGTGTGGGGCTTTGAAAAATCAGTAAACGTAAACGCCCTTACCTCGTACGGTTGAAGAATGAAGGCAGAGTCATTAAAGCAAGAGGGGGTCCATTGGCTGGAGATGCTGACCTTGACGTTGCTAAAGGCCTTTCGGGAGGCATGGAGAAGAGAGTAGCTAGGAATTTTAAAAAGAAGAATTACAAAACAAGAAAGAAAAATTAAACATATGTTATTACCTCAAATATACAAGCAGTCAGACTGGGTCCAATTAAATAACATGAGGGTATTAACTCTAGAGCAGTGTTTCCCAAACTTGACCCTTTGAAGATGTATGGACTTCAACTCCCAGAATTCCTCAACCAAGCATACTGGTTGGGGAATTCTGGGAATTGAAGTCCATGCATCTTAAAATAGCCAAGTTTGGGAAACACTGCTCTAGAGGGTCACAATCTCCAATTGGGATGGCATGCGTTCCTGTGGGAAGGAAAAAATAAAACACATACATACTTCCAGACACATCTAGTGCGAAATGCTTTGATAAATAGTTGGGACAAAATTAAGAAAAAGCATTATATGAAAGTTCCAATTTGGATATCAACAATGGAGGCAATAATTTATCCAAATGTATTAGATATAAACAAAGTGGTAAGGTATTCGGAATTATTAGATGAACAAGGAAATTTAAAATCGGAGCAAGATTTTAAAAAATCAAGGAATAAAAATTGACTGGTGGCCATACCTGCAAATTAGAACAAAATATAAAAAAAATCGAGAACAATACGGCATTTATGGAGATCAATTGGAATTTGACAAAATATTATTAGGAACAGGGGGAAAAATGATTACTAAAACATATGATCTATTACTAAGATTTAAAATGGAAGAAGAAAATGTGAAGGAGACAATGATTAGTTGGGCGAGAAATTTTGGACATAGTATTCAATTAGATCATTGGGATAAATAATGGGAGAGAAACTACAAACTAACGATGTCAGCTGCTTATAAGGAGAATCTTTATAAAATGTTCTATTGCTGGTACCTACCACCAGCCAGATTGGCCAAGATGTTCTCAAACCGATCGCCTGAGTGCTGGAGATGTGGTTACAAGCAGGGAACGTGCTATCATCGTGCATTGTGAATTATCTAATTATCACAGCACTGTCTTATGTCTAAAAATACACTGCTCAAAAAAATAAAGGGAACATAAGCAGAAGACATCCAAAATCTGAATGAATGAAATAGCCTTATTAAATACTTTGTTCGTTACATACAGTAGTTTTGTGTTCCCTTTAGCTGTTTGAGCAGTGTATAAACTACTGTATGTAAAGAACAAAGTATTTAATAAGGCTATTTCATTCATTCAGATCTCGGATGTCTTCTGCTTGTGTTCCCTTTATTTTTTTGAGCAGTATATTTACCCATATACTAGGGCTATATCACTATTATCCTTCTCATTTTTTTTCTATTATCTTCTCCTTTTGGTATCTTATGATTATATTACTTAGTTGTTAGTATGTACACTGAGATCATACAGTGGGGCAAAGAAGTATTTAGTCAGCCACCAATTGTGCAAGTTCTCCCACTTAAAAAGATGAGAGAGGCCTGTAATTGACATCATAGGTAGACCTCAACTATGAGAGACAAAATGAGAAAACAAATCCAGACAATCACATTGTCTGATTTGGAAAGAATTTATTTGCAAATTATGGTGGAAAATAAGTATTCGGTCAATATCAAAAGTTCATCTCAATACTTTGTTATATATCCTTTGTTGGCAATGACAGAGGTCAAACGTTTTCTGTAAGTCTTCACAAGGTTGGCACACACTGTTGCTGGTATGTTGGCCCATTTCTTCATGCAGATCTCCTCTAGAGCAGTGATGTTTTGGGGCTGTCGCTGGGCAACACGGACTTACAACTCCCTCCAAAGGTTTTCTATGGGGTTGAGATCTGGAGACTGGCTAGGCCACTCCAGGACCTTGAAATGCTTCGTATGAAGCCACTCCTTCGTTGCCCGGGCGGTGTGTTTGGGATCATTGTCATGCTGAAAGACCCAGCCACGTTTCATCTTCAATGCCCTTGCTGATGGAAGGAGATTTGCACTCAAAATCTCAAGATACATGGCCCCATTCATTCTTTCCTGTACACGGATCAATCGTCCTGGTTCCTTTGCAGAGACACAGCCCCAAAGCATGATGTTGCCACCCCCATGCTTCACAGTAGGTATGGTGTTCTTTGGATGCAACTCAGCATTCTCTCTCCTCCAAACACGACGAGTTGTGTTTCTACCAAACAGTTCTACTTTGGTTTCATCTGACCATATGACATTCTCCCAATCCTCTTCTGGATCATCCAAATGCTCTCTAGCAAACTTCAGACGGGCCCGGACATGTACTGGCTTAAACAGGGGGACACATCTGGCATTGCAGGATCTGAGTCCCTGGTGGCCTAGTGTGTTACTGATGGTAGCCTTTGTTACGTTGGTCCCAGCTCTCTGCAGGTCATTCACTAGGTCCCCCCGTGTGGTTCTGGGATTTTTGCTCACCGTTCTTGTGATCATTTTGATCCCATGGGGTGAGATCTTGCGTGGAGCCCCAGATCGAGGGAGATTATCAGTGGTCTTGTATGTCTTCCATTTTCTAATTATTGCTCCCACAGTTGATTTCTTCACACCAAGCTGCTTGCCTATTCCCAGCCTGGTGCAGGTCTACAATTTTGTTTCTGGTGTCCTTCGACAGCTCTTTGGTCTTCATCATAGTTTGGAGTGTGACTGTTTGAGGTTGTGGACAGGTGTCTTTTATACTGATAACAAGTTCAAACAGGTGCCATGAGTGGAGGACAGAGGAGCCTCTTAAAGAAGAAGTTACAGGTCTGTGAGAGCCAGAAATCTTGCTTGCTTGTAGGTGACCAAATACTTATTTTCCACCATAATTTGCAAATAAATTCTTTCCAAATCAGACAATGTGATTGTCTGGATTTGTTTTCTCATTTTGTCTCTCATAGTTGAGGTCTACCTATGATGTCAATTACAGGCCTCTCTCATCTTTTTAAGTGGGAGAACTTGCACAATTGGTGGCTGACTAAATACTTTTTTGCCCCACTGTATGCACAGGAGACAAATTCCTTGTGTGTCCAATCACAATTGGTCAATGAAGTATTCTAATCATAGTGCATTGTGAATTTTCTTCTTTATGGTCTCTGCTGAATGGCATTGCCTACCTTATTAATATAGCCCATGCCAGAAATACTTTAATAAGAAACTATCGTTGACATTAGCTATGCTGTTGGGATTAATGGATACTATGGTATGATGGACACTCACAAAGAGTCTGAGGGATCAGACCGAATACCTATCCAAATCCAGCATCCAATTTTCCTCAGCAACCAGATAGCTATGGATAGTTATAATTGGTAGATTTAATGTTCATGGCTTAAAAAACGGGTGAGATACAACCATAGTTGATGAGAAGCTTGTATGTAACATTTATTCTGCATCAACATATTGATTCTACCATATAAAAGGAACCGTTCAGTGCTCTATTTCAGAGTCTTCAACCTTGGCAACTTTAAGCCTGAAGGACTTCAATGCTGGCTGGGGAATTCTGGGAGTTGAAGTCCTTCAGGCTTAAAGTTGCCAAGGTTGGAGACCCCTGCTCTGTTTTCATTCAGTTGCTCAAGAATTCAGATGAATCCCTGCAGGTTCAGTTACAACCACCTACCTGAAGAAAGTGAGGAGGAACACAGCAACATGATGATGTGTGAACTGTGGCACAAGGCTTTTGTTGGTAGACTGCCTCCTCTGAGTAATAGGCATAGCTCCTTTTCAGGTTTCCCCAACTTCTCCCCCCAGCTTTCTTTGCCCCCAAAGGCTGGAATGTAAATTATGTCATTTCTCTTCACCTTTTAAAAATAAAATAAAAGCAAAATAAGATCAAGGAATATTGAAACAGAGGCAGCAACAGCAAAGCATAAACATTTTAAGTCCTACTTTTAAGCAAATGTATTCAATCACATCTATGTGCACATATAATATCATAGATCAATTGAAATATCAGGGAAATAATGTTTCACATTTCCTGACAAATCAGAAGGAAGTTTAATAAGGAATGATTAGATGTTTGTATGACTGGAGACACACATTTGGGGAATTGGTACATTAACTCATATGGTTTGGGTTTGTTTTACTACTGCTAATAGACTGAGTTTATGAACTTAGACTGAAGTTCATAAAAAATATTAACATGATTTTGCAGCAAATGCTGATGATCAAACATACACGATCCCTTATAAAAAAGAGCCGAGGTGGCACAGTGGTTAAGAGTGCAGTACTGCAGCTACTTCAGCTGACTGCTAGTTCAGCAGATCAGCAGATCAAATCTCACCGGCTCAAGGTTGACTCAGCCTTCCATCCTTCCGAGGTGGGTAAAATGAGGACCCAGATTGTTGGGGGAAATATGCTATTTAGTATACTGTCTTTGGTGTAAGCCGCCCAGAGTCCTCAGAGAGTGGGCAGCATAGAAATATGACTAATAAATAAATAATAATAAAAAATGTTATACTTATCTTTTTGGTGGGACTAAAAATGCAAAATTCTTACAGCAACTTAAAAGTTCTTGAACAAAGGTAGCTTGTTTCCTTTTAGTTTTTTGAGTGTGTGTGTATGGGGGGGGGAATTAAACACTGCTAAGGAGCAACACGCAGGAGACTTTAATCTCCTCAAACTGAAAAGAGTCCCATATTCTCAGCTCTGCTGTCTCTAGGACAGGGGTGTCAAACTCGCGGCCCACAGGCCATGCCCATGCCCGGTTTAGCAAAGGGGGGAAAAGTTGTGATACATCACATGACGACAATGTGTTGTCGCGAGTTTGACACCCCTGCTCTAGGAGATCACATACATCCTGCTTATAGATTATAGTTCCTCAGATCTTCTTGCTTAGTCTTATCCTGACTGCCACACTTCCAAAAACCTTTCCTGAATATGCAGTGATTATCTACAGGACCGCATTCTGCCACCAATTGCCTCCCACCGACCTATACGCTCCCACAGAGAGGGCCTCCTCAGGGTGCCGTCAGCCAAACAGTGTAGGCTGGCGACCCCCAGGGGGACAGCCTTCTCTTGGGGGCCCCGGCCCTATGGAATGAACTGCTCCCGGACATACGAAGGATCCCCGACCTCCGTGCCTTCCGTTGCGCTCTGAAGACCCTATTATTCCAGCAAGCTGGACTGACAGGATAAAGGTTTTTTAAATTGGGTTTTGATAGGGGTTTTAAAATGATGTTAGTTGGATGTTTTAAATTTGGCCGAATGATTGAATTATTTTAATAAGCTTTTAATTTTTGTTGTACATTGTTTTTACCATGGCTGTTCACTGCCCTGAGTCCCTCGGGAGAAGGGCGGTATACAAATATAATAAACTAAACTAAACTAAATTAAACTAAGTCTGTGTTCTAGAAGGAAGCTATGACTTCTCCCCTTATGTACATAATGCTAGTTTTGCATCATAAGTACGATTATGGTCCATGATATAAAAAGATGACCCTCCCTCTCAACTTTACAATATTCACTCAGTTGGTCATCTACAGAGAATAAAAGAAGCACTTAGCTGCTAGATGTTGTTCACTTCTTCAAGCATAGCACATTAATTAGAGCATACTGTTATGTTTTCCAGGTTACAGCATATGTGTCTCTTGTTACAGGTTTCAGTAATGGCATGAAACCTGATCATTTCTAAGACAGGAATTCACTATTGGAGAACTTTAAAGGGTCTGCTACGGCTTGCTAGATACTCTGGAGGTAAGAGTAGATAGACACCTAAGGAATGGCAATATGCTGACTACTATTCTTCCTATGGTTTATCAGTTTTTATCTTATCTATCCTTTATCTGGCTAATTCTCTTAGGAACCAGGAGGGGGAAGGGGCAAAGAAAATTAACTGCTAAGTAGAAAGATAAGATAAAAGGTAAGTAGTAGTATACAGGTAAAGAGGGTCCTCTTGTATGCGTACTTTAATTTGTAAACTCCAGTTGTTTATGAATAGGAAGTTTTGGATGTCTGAACCAGATGTCCAAAGACGTTCAGAACTGTTGTCACAAGATGGAAATCATCAGTAGCAACTCTCCTTCCAAGGGTACACATTCACATGTGCGTAATGAACCGAGAAGTTGAGTAAGCTTCTCTGGTGGCTATTTTTCCTATAACTGTACATTCGGCATTAGAAAATGGTCCAAACTCTATTCCCTGAATACGTGAAAGTTTTAAATTCTCACTGGCATACATGTAATTTTCCTTTAGCAACAATTGGGACCCACAACTCAATTGTTAAGTGCAACAGTTGTTAAGTGACTGTATGTATGATCTTATTTCAGCTTTCCTTTGCTTTACAGACCTGCAAAGTTTATGTATGCGAAGATTGGTCATAAAGTTACTATTATATTACTTTTAACTTTTTCATCACTGTTTTAACATCAAAAAAAGTCACTAAACAAGGCGATTGCTAAATAAGGACTATCTATGTTACTTTTGCCATCTTTTTTTTCAGAATTCTACAGAGAAGATAATGAGATGTAATCAAGGAACTATGTAATCCAAAGAATTTATCTGGTATCATAACAAATCAGTATTCCTTCAGCATGTCCCATCTTTAAAAAGAATAGAAAGCCACATTGTACCTTATGCTTGTAAAGATAACCTAACGTTATGTATGTTGGGAGCTTTGCATACGTTAAATTATTATTAGATCTTAACCTTTCCTCCGGTATCTCAAATTAGCATATATAATGCTCCCTGATCCAAATATTTCCTCGACAACAGCCATGAGATTGGAGACTAAGGAGGGAGGGGCGAAAAAAAGGAAACCTTAAGAGCAGTGGTCTCCAACCTTGGCAACTTTAAGTCTTGTGGACTTCAATTCCCAGAATTCTGAGAATTCTCCCAGAATTCTGGGAGTTGAAGTCCACAAGTCTTAAAGTTGCCAAGGTCGACACCCCTGTTTTAGAGAACCTCAAAATGGTATGTAAATGATTGGTACTTGACCTGATTAGTACTCAGGTTGAAGTCTATCACAAAATCCCAAGGCTGAAAAAGTTAGACTGGAAAGTTTCTTTTAAAAAAACACAGGAGTAGCAAATAATTTTCAAATCTTTATCAATAAATATATAAGGGCATGTCTTGTTAGTGAGAAAGAAAATCATTAATATTCAATTGAAGTTAACCTTTTGGATGGCAGCTTCTATCACAAATTTCTATATTCTGTACTTCCCGCTATACCATTAGAACTAATTTAATCATGGACAAAAATTTTAATCAGATAGCATCAATTATATAGTCACTTCTGACATTTTCTGATTAAGTACCATGCAACTAAGGAACAAAAAACCACTGATTATAGAGATATTTTTGTGTCTAGTTATTGAGAGATATTTTTGCAGCATATAAAGCCCACAATAATTATCTGTAAAGCTACTATGTACAACATCCCTGAAAAAATTAATCAACACATTCTACTGCGGTGTAGAATTCTATAGTCCAAGGACAAAAAAAAAAAAGAGAGAGAGAAAATTATCAGAATCTCTTAAACAGATCAATGTATTGCAGGTACGAAGTCTCTTAATTCCAGGAGTTCTCAGCCACAACCACATTCCCAAAGGAATTTCAAAGAAGGACAGAAAGGTACTGTCCACTGTAGTTTGACGAGTGTATGATTTCTAAATGAATTTATTTTATGAACCCCATTAGTAATCATTCCACGTTTTCAGTATCATATTTTCACATTACCTCCTCTTTAGGATTAGAATAAAGCTAATCTAGAGATTCTTCCAAACAAACCTATTTGGAGTCCTATTTGGAGAAGGGAGGTATAGAAATTTAATTAATAATAAATAAATAATAAACATTTGAAACCTTGGCTTGATATGGATTTACAGTTATGGCTTGCTGTCGGGGCAGTTTTAATTTAGCCTCAAGCACTGTTAACCCATATGTTGATAAAACTTAAACAAATGAGCTCTAAAATAATAGGGGCGGGAAACAAGTCAGTCCTAGATCATCAGCAAGTGATGAAATTAGGATTACATCCACAGGCAAAGTAAAATAAATAATAAATTGCTGGCTACAATTTTAAATTAATCCGATGCAGATCATTTGGAGAAGGCATTCTTGGACTGTGTTAAGTCAGATTGGGGAGAGATCTTATATTTATGTGTGAGTGTACGTATGTCTATAAAAAGAAAATCCCCAAAGTTTTAAACCACGCATGTATGTATATGTGTGCGCATATTCATATATAGAGAAAAAGAAAAATCCCCAAGGTTTTAAACCACGCATACACACCCCCACACATACACTGAACTGCATAAATTGTTTCAACTTCTACCCTCAAAACAACGCTATAGGGCACTGCACACCAGAACAATTAGACACAAGGACAGTTTTTTCCCCCTAATGCCATCACTCTGCTTAACAACTAATTCCCATAACACTGTCAAATTATTTACTAAGAATGTATTACTGTTATTCTTCTCTTCCTTACTAGTATCTATCTCTTCCCACTTATGACTATAACCATGTTGCTTATATCTTTCAATTTATATTGTTTTTGTTTCCTAGTACGATTTGAGAGCTTATTAGTAACCTTGACTATCACTAAGTGTTGTAATCTTTTTATTCTTGATGACTGTTATTTTATTTTCCTTATGCACACTGAGAGCATATGCACCAAAGGCAAATTCCTTGTGTGCCCAATCACACTTGGCCAATAAAGAATTCTATTCTATTCTATGTATGCGTGTGTGCATATCCATATATAGAAAAAGACAGGTTTTAAACCACGCATGCACCCTCCACACACACACTCATTTAAAAGAAAGAAAGAAAGAAAGAAAGGTATGCAGCGAGCCCTTGATAAAGGTTTTGCAACGAGGAAGATGTCCCTAGTTCAACTGCTACGTGGCAGAAAGTTGCCGTTCAAGGCAACCGCTGTCACAGACAACAGCAGAAAGCGCAAGCCCGCGGAACCAGCGGGCGAACCGCGGAGGGAATCTCAGACCATCCCCTGAAAAATAACCGGGAGGGCAGCATGGGAGCTGATTTGGCATGCCAATACTGCAAACGAACCCGGTGGACACGGTCTCCAGCAGGCTGCGAGACAGCCGCCCACTCGCGCTCCGATCGCCCCATCTGTCACGGGGCAGCCGCTCCTCATCCCACGCCGACCAAGCCGCCCCGCGCCCCCCCCCCCCCAACCCCCGCCGCCTTAATTCCCCCCCCGCCCCTCCGCGGAACCTCCACGTAAACACCGCTCACCTGTCTGCATTTCCAAGGCAACTTCCTGGAAGTCACATGACCAGCGCCTCTTCCGAGCTCGCGCTCCGCTTCTCCTTCCCTCCCTCTCTCCACACACACCCAGCCCCCCACCCCCCTCCCCGTTTCGTCTCCCTTCCTCGTGGTGCACTCTGGGAATTGCAGTCCCCTGGAATTCTCAAGGCACCTTCCGAACGAGCCCTGCCCCGGAGCCCGAAGGAAGAGGCTTACAAAAACAGGCTGGAAGGGAGCTCTCGTGGCTTTCGGTGGCGCGACCGGCTGGTTGGGGGTGGCCATACTTATTCGACAGGAGGGCTACCGAGCGATAGGTTCTTGGCTTCGGAGTGAACGTGAATAATACGGATGGGGGCTGTTTTTCAGACTTGCAGTCCACTGAGTTGCATTGCAAAGTTAACGCAGGCGATGACTGAGTGCTGGTTCCAGTTTGTGCCTTCCAGTCCCCGCAAATTTTCTCGGCAAGATTTCCTAAGTGGTTTGCTAAGACGCTGAGCTTGTCGCTCAGAAAGGTCGGCGGTTCGAATCCCTAGTATAGGTCTCCTACGTGAGCAGGGGGTTGGACTAGATGACCTCCAAGGTCCCTTCCAACTCTTGTTACTGTTACTATGGCTGAGAGAGAGAGAAAGAGGAATTGGCCCAAGATCACTCCAAGGCACTTTAACCTCTTCACCAAACTGGCTCTCGGTCAGGGGTCTCCAACCTTGGTAACTTTAAGCCTGGTGGACTTTAACTCCCAGAATTCCCCAGCCAGCAAAGCTAAAGTCCACCAGGCTTAAAGTTACCAAAGTTGGAGACCCCTGCCCAAGTTTCAGCTTATTGGGAAGTAATTCATATTTAAATCACGCATAGGCCGAGAGTAAACAGAAATAAATTGGGCTTCGGTTTCACTGACTACATCACATGATTAGCCTGGTCCTCCCAAACTAACCTCTGACACATTTGAACTGAGGTGTGGTGTCGAAAAACCCTTCAAAAGTCATTTCAATCATCGCTACACCTCCATGTCTGCTGAAGTAGTTGCTGAAGGCAGTTCAGTAAGATACCTCTTATCAGAACTTATCACAATGCAGGTCAACCATTTTTGCCCTGTATTGTTCTCACTGGCCAGCAGCAAGTTTTCCAGTTCGAAGCACAATTCTTTTTTTTTTTTTGTATCTGGAGGTTCTTGGATTTTGTGTGTGTGTGTGTGTGTGTGTGTGTGTGTGTAAACCATCCTCTGAAAATACTTAAGGTGTATTCTTTCTAACACGATTCATGCCCTACAGGATCTCTTTGGGTGCATACATTCCCTTGCCAAGTTCCTGCAGTTTTCTTGGCAAGGTTTTTGGAAGTGATTTGCAATTGCCGCCTTCTTCCTAGGGCTGAGAGAATAACTAGGCCAAGGTTGCCTAATGACCTTGTACCTAAGGCTGGACTAGAACTCATGGTCTCCCTTTACTAGCCTAGTGCCTTAACTACCACACCAAACTGGCTCTCGTAAGAGCTATAATACTGTAGTCGTGTAATGAGGAAAGGCAAGCTATGGATCCCTGAGATCTTTACCAAGAAGAAAAGGAAAATAATGACTAAATAGATGATTGTTGGGAAATAGCTATCAATTCCTACCGACCACTAACTGAAATCTATTTGTATGAGAGAATTTTAATCTGTATAAGTAAAAGCCTCATACACTAGAGGGGATATCTTCATTACTTGTTCATTTCCAGAGAATTGTGGGAAGTTCTATGTTTGTAAAGGGGGTAAAATGGCAGAAGTTTCGCAGGTATATCGTAGCTTTTCCTGCCAAAGAGATGCAGTGATGGGAATAGCTTCTCCTGCCATCAGACAATTCTAATTGCCAAATTACATCTCTTATTTATTTAAAAGCTAAATCCTGGTTTTACCATGTCATCTTTTAAAGTGCACTTTCCCCATGTATTTTCAACAGCTACAAGACAGGAAGGAAATAGATAGCAAAAGAACGCCTGTTGAACTTCTGCTTGTCAAGTCACTTAGGGGATTACAGCACCAAGGCATTACAAATGAATAGCTGTAAGCCTACATCCTTAATGCATAAAATATTGACAACAACAGAAAAACCCTCAAATGTGTGGAGGAAATGGAAATAAATAAACAGGTTTTGTTGCAAAGTTTGAACAATGGATTTCTTAGAGCCAATAGAACAAAATGATTGATAGTTGGCTCTTTTTAGAAACCTGGAGAACTTTATTTTTGCATAAAAGGGAAAAAATATAGAATGGTTTACAGAAATTCAATATTTCAAGTTTAACATTTGTAACTTTATGTACTATTTGCAACTACGTGAATGCAAATACTATATACTAGTCTTACGTTGCAACCAATAGCTATCCACATATCACATATTATGGGATCCTACAGGCAGATCTGATTGTAAAAGCACAGTCCTGTTACTCTATGGTAGCAAAAACAAAATAAAACAAACAAAAAACAAAAATTACCGAGTCTGGTAGCATCTTTTACAACTCATACATTTTATTTAAAGGCATAAGCTTTCATGAATTGCAACTCACTTAATCAGTTGTTCATGCTTATGCCTTTTAATAAAATTTATTAGCTGGAAAAGATACCATACACCTGCTGACATTTTTATTATAATTAGTAAATAAATTTAGAAACAGTTTATTTATTTTATTTATTTATTATCAAATTTATATACCGCCCTTCTCCCAAAGGACTCAGGGCGGTGCACAGCCAAAGTAAAAAACTTAAATACAAACACTAAAATACAGTTAAAAAGATATATATGCATTTGGCCCCAAAGTTAAAAAACAGTAACAAACCCATTAAAAACATTTTAAAAAATGTGTTAAACCAGCACGGCTTGCTGAAAAAGAAAGGTCTTAAGGGCACTGCGGAAGGCACCGAGGTCTTGGATTCTTCGTATCTCTGGGGGCAGCTGATTCCAGAGGGCAGGTGCCCCCACAGAAAAGGCCCTCCCCCTGGGGGCCACCAGTCTACATTGCTTGGCCGATGGCACCCTGAGGAGGCCCTCTCTGTGGGAGCGCACAGGTCGGTGGGAGGCCATAGGTAGCAGCAGGCGGTCTCGAAGATATCCAGGTCCTATGCCATGGAGCGCTTTAAAGGTGATAACCAACACCTTGAAGCGCACCCGGAAGACCACTGCGAGCCAGTGCAGCTTACGCAGGAGAGGTGTTATGTGGGAGCGCCATGCGGCTCCCGTAACTACCCACGCGGCCGCATTCTGGACCAGTTGGAGCCCCCAGGTGCTCTTCAAGGGGAGCCCCATGTAGAGAGCATTTCCATAGTCCAGGCGAGAGGTGACGAGGGCATGAGTGACTGTGCACAAGGAATCCTAATCTAGGAAGGCCGCAACTGGCGGATCAGGCAAACCTGATAAAAGTTGAACTGGATTATTTAAATAAAGGTTGGCATCAAGATTTTGCTTTTAGGATAATTGACTTGAAGTTTGTTTCTCCTTTTCCATGTAGAATTTCAAATATATATTCAAAATTATCACATAGAATGTTAAGCTTTTTTTAAAAAAAAAGGCAGGTTTAAAGAAACTTCCACAGTTAAATTAATGCAGCAGCTCTTTTGTCTTCTCTAGGCTTATTCTCTTTCAAAAGTGTGTGCTCTCCTATATCATTATGTAATATAGTTCTTTGTATATTTACTTACAAGAAACCCCATGCAATTCAGCAGGGTGCATTCATATGCAAGGACAGTTTGTAATATTTACTGCCTTGTGTCACCTGAGGATATACACATAATAAACATGCAATAATGCAACATTTCCTTTGCGGACATAGTAAAGTTTAAATGAGGAAGTTATTTTTTTTCCCCATTAAACTTCTAAATCTGGTAACGTATCTTTTATATGTGGTGTTTCTTTTTTAAAAAGAAGGTTTGAGTGGATCACCAGCAGGAGACTGAAAGACGCTGAATTTATGAACTACATTTCCCATCAGGCGGTAAGAAAACTAGAAAAGGTGGGAGGAGAATAGAGAGAAAGCTGTACCTGTTCATGCAGGTAAGACAAAAGGGTGAATAAGGGGTGAATTGGCGCTTAAAGAAGCAAGGATTCTGGTGCTTTGGGATATCATATAACTTATGTTGAGTACTTAAAGTTTTACTTTGTTGTTGGTATTTGTTGGCTTTTGCGGGGGAAATTTTTTCGTGAAAACAGGTTGCTGAAAACAGGAGAGGTAGAAAAACGAAACAAGGATAGTTTCGATGGTTAAGATGTTGATAATGGGAAATGGTCTGCTGTGTTTATTTTTGGCTGGCTAGAAACTGAAGTCAGTAAGTATATATATCAAGATGTGACAAACTTACAGAGGAAAGATGCCGGAAGGAAGGAAAGAAGTAAAAAACATATTCTCTCTTTCTGCCCTTAATGGTGATTTATGTTTGTGCCCTTTTAACCAGCTGCCTTTTACACATGCAAAGGTTTTACTGAAGTATGGAGTAGCAAGAAAACAATCTCTATTTTCCAAAACTTTGAAGAAAAAATTATCTGTTTGGATAGGTATTGCAGCTATGCAGTAATTGTTATTATTCAGAGGCCAGCATGCTTTGCTTTTTATTTGGTTTAATGTTCTATTTATTTCAGCGTGGGAAGAGTATCTTTTTAAAAGTTCTAGAAGCTCAAGAGCAAGCAGTTGCAGCTGAGTACATAATTGTATCTGATAATTAAATAGTTAAATTGCTTGCTGTATCGCCGTCAAAAGCTTGGGTAAGAGACAATCTACTCTTACATTCAGAGCTCAAATGATTAGAGGAAATACAGGCATTTTTGTGAAACTTTCTGTCTGATTTCCCCATTTTAACCACTTGTGGTTTCCTAATATTCTTTTAATAAGCTTCTTCTCATATCCAAGCATCTAACCACAATCAACTCAGACAGGTATAGGCAGCTTAGGACCCACAACCAACTTTGGTGTAGTATCATTGGTTTTCTTCTCAGAATGCCTTTCCAAGAATACCTCATATTCATCAATTAAAAATGATGAGTCACAGTGGGGTTTTTTTGTTTTTTGTTTTAAATTTGATTTATATGCCGCCCTTCTCCGGAGACTCAGGGCGGCTTACAATGTGTTAAGCAATAGCCTTCATACTTTTGTATATTTATACAAAGTCAGCTTATTGCCCCCACAAACTGGGTCCTCATTTAACCTACCTTAGAAAGGATGGAAGGCTGAGTTAACCTTGAGCCTGGTGAGATTCGAATTTACAGTAATTGCAGACAGCTGGTGTTAATCACAATGCTTTTAGTCTGCTGAGCTACCAGGCCCGTTTAGGTTAAATACTTTTAATTCACAGTGTGCCAAAGTAGACCCAAGTGTCGGCTAAGAGGATAGAGACTCTGGAGCACAGAGAATGTGACAGGGAAACAACTTTACCCATTAGCTTTCTAGTCAATACGTTTTTCCTAACCAGGCCATTTTTCTATCTCATTTGGCTACCATTTTTTGAGCATTTATTTTGATGGCCTCAACTTGCCCACTGTGGCGATTAATTGAAAAGGTCTTCCAACTCAATAGAGTTGGAAGAGATCTTGGAGGTATTCTAGTCCAACCCCTTGCCCATGTCATTTGTCATTTCAGACAAATGGTTGTCTAATCTCTAGCGATGGAATACCCACAGCTTCTGGAGATAAATGGTTCCACCAATTAATTGTCCTGTCAGGAAATTTCTCCTTAGTTCTAGATTGGTTCTGTCCTTGATTAGTTTCCATCCGTTGTTTCTTGTCCTGCCTTCAGGTGCTTTGGAGACTAGGTTGACCCCTAATTCTGCAGTACTGGTGCGACATCTGACTGAAAGTGGTTTACCACTCTTCTATTACATGTTGAAATGGAGGAATCGAGAGCAGCTGCCTGGAATCCTCACAATAGCGGCCCATAGTTTGTAGACAGGATTCTTGTAATGTGTTTTAAGTAGGACCACAGTATTAGTCGGTCCCAAATAGCATTGCTGGATGGTTACCAGGGTCTGGCTGTATATAAGTGTTTTTAAACAGAGTGTCCATAGTGCTATAGGAAACTTTTAAGGAACAGCATCTGTTCCGTTGATTCTGATGTGTAGACAGGGAAAGAAAAAGGGAAGCAGTTGCGCAAAATCAGAGGTTGTTTACAGAGTTAACAAGTGAATAATATCTCAGCTTTCTAAATACCTGAGGTAAACTGGTTGCACGGTATCTCTTTGGATGCACTCTGTCACTGCGATCTTGTTCAGTCACCCTGGATCAGTCAACAGTGTTACTTTTCACCTTCTCTTTTAAGTTTTTATGATTATAATGCAGGCCAAAATCTGTTTTCTTTTAAAAAAAAAAATTACAGGAGAGCAACTGTAGTTCTGCTGCTATACCACTTTTCTCTTCTACAGAGAAACAGACGATAAAAGAATCCCTGGGATGACTTTTCTGACTGGTTAATTGTATTGACCAATAATAATAAGAACAAAAAGTAACAATAAGAGCAGCGCTAGGCCCTTTTAAACTTTCATTGTCTTGCTATCACCCTCCAAGTAAAGTATTTTTGAGTTAACTTTCTCAAAGAACTTTCCCCATTGCTGAGGTGAAATGGTGTTCAGCTATCCTAGAACTAGTTTGTGGTGTGGTAGTGTGTTGATAAGGAGAATTCTGTGGAATATCACATGCAAAAATAAATAAATAAATCTGAGTGGTTTTTTTAAAAAAATGAGTCCTCCTTCAGTTTCCACTATGAAAGAGAATAAGGAGCAGAGCCTCTTAAGTGATGGCAGTGGCACCAGTATAGTACAATATTCTCATCTAATAATTTTATTTTTCTGTTAACATGTCTGTCTTCTAAAAATATTCCCAAGCAAAGCTGATTGGTTGAGGGTGGTTTTTTTCAACTACATGTTAAGAAAAGGATTATTTCTCCTTGTCTAGCTGCATTTCTGGTGATGAATTTGAAAAATAAATACTGAAATTTTTAATTTCTCCCCAAAATTTTCTTTCTTTCTTTCTTTCTTTCTTTCTTTCTTTCTTTCTTTCTTTCTCTCTCTCTCTCTCTCTCTCTCTCTCTCTCTTTTCCTTCCTCCCTCCCTCCTTCCCTCCCTCCCTCCCTCCCTTCCTTCTTTCCTTCCTCCCTCCCTTCCTGTTAGTACAAGATTTTAATATTAACGTGAGATACATGTGATAGAGAACCAATGTGATGTTAAGGCACCAGGCTTGAAACCTGTGAGTTCTAATTCCGTCTTTAGGCACAAAGCCATCTAGGTGACCTTGGTCCAGTTGCTCTCTCTCAGACCTAGGAAGGAAGGTGAACCACTTCCAAAATCTTGTCAAGATATGTACAAACTGAAGAGATTTCGGAGAGTAGTCCAGTTCAACACTGATTTGAAGACACAAGACAAAAGAAAAATTATGATGTATTTAATATATGATGGGGATGGGGAGTTTGTCCAATTGTATTATTTCATTTAGCTTAAATGGGAAACACTGCAATCTTATTTAAAGGTTCTTATTAAAGAAAAGGTTAAAACTTGATAAGCTTTAGATTTCGCAAGCATTGGTTTCAATGCTTAGTAGGCTAAAAGGCTAAAAGATTCAGCTTCTTCAACATACCACTGCAATAGCCTGTATGGCCTCTTTCTAAAGAAGATGGATTTCAACAAAAGAGTTGAATTACCACACAATTTTGTAGCTAGGAAAGCAGCCACACTGGAAGAATGGTGGAATACCCTCTGGCAAACCTCATTTTTTGCTACAGGTGCTTCTGGGGTAGTGAATTTTTCTATTGACTTTAGGAATACCAATAAGTCCTTGGTTAATGATGATAATTATAACCAGAATTTCTGTTGTTACGTGATGCAGTCATAGAGCGTGATATCAACATAGCCCAGTGGTGAAATCCTACCGGTTCGTACCTAAAAGCTACCAGTTTGGCGAACCGGTAGTAAAAAAAAGCTACCAGTTGGTCCCAACCAGTATTTTCGACGATCAGCTGTGCCGCACGATTTAAAATAGTTAAAAAGCAGGAAATCCTGCTTTCTAGTGAATCTAAATCGTGCAGGATAGCTGTTCTACTTACCTTCCCAAGTTTCCTTTTTCCACATGCAGTGCGTGTTTGGTGCATATTACGCGTGTGCACAGCGTGTGCACAAAGTGCATTTGTGCACGCAGTATGCATTTGGCATGCATGCATGCATGCAGCACGCGCTTGGCACGTACTGCGCATGTGCAGGCAGCAAACTGGTGGCAAACCGGGGAGAATTTGACGTAGCCATGCTACTTAGCAATGGCAGTTCCAGCAGTGCCTGGTTACCGTTGTTAAGTGAAGACCTCATGTGATGATGACTTCCATGTTTCTGCCAGCTTCCCCATTGAATTTGCTTGTGGGAAGCTGTCAAGGAAGGTTGCAAATAGCATTCACATGACTGAGAGAAATCTGAGCTGGTTGCAGGGCACCTGGATCAAAGTCATGTAACCACAAGGGTGTTGCAGTGACCAGAACTTCGAGGACTAGTCATAACTATCACTTGTTCATCATCCTCAAAAGTTTGAAATGTCGTTGAACAAGGGGTTGTTAAACAAGGACCATCTCTAGTAGCTAAGAAGTCTATTTGTTTACAAAAGCACTGATGAATTTGCTAAATCAGAAGTGGAATACATCACTTGTGTGCACCACCAAATTATCAAAACTATTTAAGTGACTTGTAATTTAATTAGGTTTTTAAATGTACACTGGTTTGTATTTTTGCATTCATTCTCCCCCCCCTTTCCCCATTAATCTAGGGCCAAAGTTCTCAAAACTCTAGAATATCATGGCTTTCACCAATACAGAGATGGATGATGCGTTTGACTACCTGTTCAAGATCATTCTGATTGGAGACTCAAATGTGGGGAAGACGTGTGTGGTCCATCGCTTCAAGTCTGGACAATACCATACAAAGCAGCAGAACACTATTGGGGTTGACTTTACAGTGCGTTCCCTGGAAATTGATGGCAAGAAGGTGAAGGTGAGTGATATATTTCTACTGTGTCTTTTCATGATTAATATGAGTTTTCCACCCAGCCATTAGCCTCACGCTTCTAATCTTTTCTGCACTTTCATGCCATTGTATGAATATCTCTATAGTTGCTCTTTGGGCTTTTGGTAATGAGAAAGGAAAGGAGGCAGTTTAACTGGGCAGCAGAGGAGAGGTAAAACTTGAATTCTAGCCCCTTCCTCATCCTTATTATAACCTTATAACTTCAATAACTGGGCCAAGAAAACAGTAAAGTGTACGTCCAAGCATTTCTAAAGACAGGGGAAGGGAATAAGTCCTGACTTCATCATGTCTTGGAATGGGGAAAATCCCAGAAGTTAGGAAATCACATGAGGCAGGAGATTCAGGCAAGCTTTCCAGATCCAGAGAAGGCTAGTATAAAAATAATTTTTTAAAATTTAGTTTGGCAAGCATGTACAAGATAAGAGGTATAAGTATAAACATGGACATGAACACAGGAAATGAGTACAAATAAATGGGGACAGTAGGACAGGACGGTATGCACACTGGTGCGCTTATGTACGCCCCCTTTATGGACTGCTTAGGAATGGGGTGAGATCCACGGTAGACAGTTTAAGGTTGAAGCTGTGGGGGTTTGAGGATGTAACAACGGAGTCAGGTAGAGCTTTCCAGGCATTGACCACTCTGTTGCTGAAGTTGTATTTTCTGCAGTCGAGTTTACCTTGAGTTTGTATCTATTGTTTGCCTGTGTATTATTGGGGTTGAAACTGAAGTGGTCGTTGACAGGTAGGACGTTGTAGCAGAAAATTTTGTGTACTATGCTTAGGTCAGATCGTAGGCAGCATAATTCCAGGTTGTCCAAGCCCAAAATTTCAAGCCTGGTGGCATAAGGTATTCTACTGTGAGCAGAGGAGTGAAGTACTGTTCTTGTGAAATACCTCTGGACCCGCTCAATTGTATTAATGTCTGATATACAGTGTAGATTCCAGGTAGACGAGCTATATTCGAGAATTGGTTTGGCAAAGGTTTTGTATGCCCTATATACAAAAATATTTGGCAGCATCTTTTCTACAGCAACAGTTGGGATAATATTTGGTTATTCCCAAAGATCTGGAGTACCCAAGTCACAAAAAGCTTTGAATACAGTTATACATCACTTGCCTGAGAATAGCTGTGCTAGGGATTTTACTGTAAATATAGTCACACAAGACTAAGATAGAGGAGTTGTGGCTGAGCAACAATTTCTAGCATTTAGGTGTTTGGAGAGACCATTTCTGTTTCTGCCTCTATTTAATTTCCTTCCAATTTCAGATACAAGTGTGGGATACGGCAGGCCAAGAACGCTTCCGGACAATAACTCAAAGTTATTATCGCAGTGCCCATGGTGCTATTCTTGCCTACGATATAACCAAAAGATCTACATTTGAGTCTATTCCTCATTGGATTTATGAAATTGAAAAATATGGTGCAGCAAACTTGGTCTTAATGTTGATTGGTAAGTTCTGAAGTCTGTCTCATCTCTGCCCCTCTTAGTTCAAAAGTTTGAGAGTTACTTTTAAAATGAAGGGGGGGAAATAGTACTTATTTTACTGAGACAGAATTAGTGGGCAAGAAATATAGAAGATCTTGTATAAATATCTAAAGAGAAAATTTATTTCCCAGTTATTGACTTCGTGTTGTAAGAGATGCACTTCTAAGTTTACCTTATTAGCACACGAATCCTCTTAGCTACCTAGTAATGAATTCTAGGTAAAATACTAAAATCAAAATGATGTATTATGTGTCAAAACATTAGAATTATAATGAGTCTCTTGTTCAATCTAGACAATCGAGAAAAAAAACAGCATCTTTTCTGGTAAAATATGAATATCATAGGGCTAGACAATTAAATGATCAATAATTATTATATGAATTGCCCTGGGGGCAGCCCTGATATTAGATAGAATGAGGTCATTTTGCTAGATGAATCAGGACAGTAAAATAAAATATTGTTAATCTGAAACCAGAAATCTTCAAGGAAGAGAATAAAACTTTCTTCAATGCATTATATACTAAACTTGTCTTGTGGCTAGATCAGGGGTGCTCAACCCCTGGTCCATGGACTGGCATGCCAGAAACTGGTCCGTGGAAACAAGCCAAATTCCATCCACAGGATGCAGGCAGCATGTGAAACCATGCCCTCTCCGGTCTGCGGAAAAGTCTCTCTCCATGGAACCGCTCTCTGGTACCCAAAAGTTTGGGGATCATTGGGCTAGATAACTAAGGGACCAAATGTTGCTGTATGAAACACACAGGGCTACCCTTCCATTTTATGGAGTAAGCAGCTGTTTGAATTGATCAGCTGAGATGGCTAATGAATTGGAGCAAATCTCTACCCTCTGATCTTTCAACTAGCCTCTAGAGAAGTGTATTGCATTTTTAAAAATGTACAGGTCTCTGAAATACAGGAAGTCCTAGACTTACAACTGTTCATTTAGTGATCATTTGAAGTTACAACTTCAAATAAGTCAAAAAAGTGACTTATGACTGTTTTTAATAATTACAACCATTGCAGCATCCCCATGGTCACATGACTAAAATTCAGACGCTTTGCAACTGACTCATATTTATGACAGTTACAGTGTCCTGGGATCATGTGATCACCTTTTGCATCCTTCTGACAAAGTCAATGGGGAAGCCAGATTCACCTAACAATCATGTTACTAGAGCCGTGATGGCACAGTGGTTAGAATGCAGTATTGCAGGCTACTTCTGCTGACTGCCGGCTGCCAGCTGTTCAGCAGTTCAATTCTCACCAGGCTCAAGGTTGACTCAGCCTTCCATCCTTCCGAGGTGGGTAAAATGAGGACCCAGATTGTTGGGGGCAATACGCTGACTCTGTAAACCGCTTAGAGAGGGCTGTAAAAGCACTGTGAAGGGGTATATAAATCTAAGTGCTGTTGCTATTGCTATTAAGTTAACAACTGAAGTGATTCACTTGACAACTGTGGCAGGAAAGGTGGTAAAATGGGGCAAAATTCACTTACCAAATGTCTTGTTTAGCAACAGAAATTGTGGGCTCAATTGTGGTCGTTAAGTCGAGGACTACTGTACCTGTATCGTATTGCCTTTATACGAGCACCCATTTTTGTTGGCTCTGAAGTGGTCCTCAGCATATGGCAGGCTATTGCCATGGCTGTTCAGGATGTATCCTCTTGAGAATTCAACATAGATATCTCTGGGACTGGGAACTTTAAATGACAGTATGTGTGTCATGCTACAATGATGCACACTCTCTAAATTTGCATCAGCTGCACACACAATGGCTTATCAAATGTGCATCGTTCATGCAATAATTCTACGACATGTCATCGAGGTTTGTGCTACCTATGATCCTCAGAGTAATGCTATTACAGCTGCCAGGGCAACAGGAGAGAACATGTGAGGAGTAGGACCAATGTGGAAGGAGGTGATGGCATAAGAATGCTTGCTTCCTGGGTTTGCTTCATAGTCATAGGAGGGCCTTCTCTGTGGGGGCACCTACCCTCTGGAATCAGTTGCCCCCAGAGATAAGGAGAATCCAAGACCTTAGTGCCTTCCACCGTGCCCTTAAAACCCACTTTTTCCAGCAAGCCGGGCTGGCTTAAGAAGAAATTTTAAATGTTTTAATTGGTTTGTATTTTTAATTTTGGGCCAAATTTATATATATTTTAATTGTTTTTTAATATTTGTATTTTATGTTTTTTAATTCTGGCTGTACACCGCCCTGAGTCCTCAGGGAGAAGGGCGGTATATAAATTTAAAATAAAAAAATAAATAATAAATAAATAGCCCCCCCCCCCTGCTCCTTTTATTTGCCCCAACTATCCATTGGGAATCTAAACGTGGTTTTAATCCAATTTAAAGGGAACAAATCAGACGAATCAGAGAAACGGCAAGTCCTGTTTGAAGACGCTTGCACATTGGCAGAGAAACACGGTCTTCTGGCTGTACTGGAAACCTCAGCCAAGGAGGCCCAAAATATTGATGAGGTTTTTATCTTGATGGCTAAGGAACTGATGGCTAGGAACACCTTACAACTTCATGGGGAGAATGGATCTTCACTCAACATCCATCTGGACGCTAGGCCAGTGATGGTTTCACAGACTGAGACATCCAGCTGCTCATGTTGAGCAAAGGCTACGTATCCCAAGGCTCTCTTCCATTAAAAGAATTTCCATGTATAATTCCACTGTACCATCCTGATGCCATGCCATCGTTGCTGAATTTCGTTCTTTGGAAATAGGCGGTTTCTTGTTTCCAACTGATCAGCAACAAACACTGGATGAAGGACTTTTTCTGGCAGACATGAGCTGATACAGAGAAGATTGTCTGTGAATACTTCTGATAAGCCACTTTCTATCAGTCCTTGGCTGCTTTTCCCTGGTGGCTATGAAAAAAATGATGGGTTTCTTGTACTGTATATACTATGTTTAGTACAGGGATGATAGAGTTGTTGATTGAGTCAAATTATTGTGAATAAATACTGAATCTTTTTTTTTTTTTAAGAAATAGAAATCTAAGCAAGTACAAAACAAGTTCTGCAGGGTTTTTCTGCCTATCTAAGAAATGCCTCTGTCTAATCAGTTTCCTATCTCGGATTACTATAACAATGTCTCTTTAAATTGAAGATTAACAAGGTAATCTTATTTAGTGTGTATTTTGGCGTCCTTAACTGTTTGACTTTGTGCAGCCCACAGATTACCAGGGAATGATTGTGATGGTCAAGCGATATACCTAAAAGAGTGCATGGAGAATATCCTGTAGTGAAATTAAATGTTGATTTCAGTTATGTCATTTTTTCTAGCGTGTGTAACAAGAGATGGTTTCACAAAACAAAGACTTATACAGACCAGTAGTGGGTTTCAATTTAGTTTGCTACCGGTTTGCATGCGCAGAAGCGTCCGGGTGGGTGGGCGGAGCCTCTCACCACCACCACTACCGGTTCGCCTGATCCGGGGTGAACCGGTAGCAACCCACCACTGATACAAACCATTCCAAAAATATACTGAAACTACAAGGACTAAAGTAGTGTGTTTTTAATCAGTTACCATAAATATAGTAAACTATATAACGTATTGTAGCTTTTTTAAAATAATAGCACTTAACAGCTTTTAATATTTATCATAATTTATTGCTAGTATGTTTTCAGTAAGTCAAAAGTCAATATAGCAACATTTCAAAATTACTGGAAGGCATTTGTCAACGTTCAGCGTCGTAATAGCTTAGTGGTAAATTTTTTACTACTTGATTATGGGAAGGCTGATGTCACTGACCATGGTATTAATAATCAAAGAACTGAGTTCTCTTTTTTAGGTATTTGTGATTCCTTTGTCTTGCCAAGCAGAGCATTTTATTTATTTCTTTAAGTAGAGAGAGTCTGTGAGTTTTCTATTTTGATTAAGTGCTTTTTGTGCTTGCCAACTTGATAAAAAAACATTGGGGGAAGAAATGAAATAATCACTAAACCGGCTCTCCAAATACCCTAGGCATTCTGGGACTTGTAGTCCCAATGCATCTGGAAGGTATGGGTTTGGGGAAGACCCGGCTCAGTACAGTGTTGATGCTTTAATCTTTGGTTTAAATTCAAATTCCTCAGATTTACATTTTTATAATATAAGAAAATTTAGTATGTATTTATTGATGTTTTATTTCCTATTATCCATGCCCAAGAGTTTGTTGCTGAATTGCCTAGTTTTAAAGGGAAAGGTTGGTTCTCTAACTAGCACTGAATAACTGTTATTGATATATATTTAAAAGCTTTTCCTTTTTACATGATTTTAAGGTAAAATGAAGATTCTAATAAATAAGGGACTTTTCCATTATTACTGAAGTAATGTATCGTTATGGAAATAAACTAGACAGAATGAAATTTAACATTTGTTTTTAAAAAACTAACATGGATCAGAGACTCAAATACATGGTACTTGCGTGGATTTACGCATTATGCCAAGTGATGGTTTTTATTGCATGATTTGTTAAAATAAGACATAATTGATTGGGCTATTAAATGAGCTAAACAAAAATATAATTGGCTAGTGCAGAGATGTCAAACTCGATTTCATTGAGGCCGCATCAGGGTTGTGTTTGACCTTGAGGGGCCAGGGTGGGCGTAGCCAGCTTGACGTCAATCATGTTGGGGGCGCCTGTGGTGGCCCGAGTGCTCTGCCAGAGAAAATGGGCTCCTGACCTCTGTTTTCGGCTGCAACGGCCTTCTGCAACCCTCTGCCACCAAAAATGGAGCTTGGGAGGGTCGCTCCATTTTTGCTGGCAGAGGCACCATGGGCCAATCTTTCACTGTTCCCAGACGTAAGTATCCCATGGTCTGGAGCTGTCCCCCGGGTCTTGAGTTTGACACCCCTGGGCCACAATGTTTTATATAAAACTAGCCAGTTTGGTTAGTTTATGATTGAGTATGCAGTGTGAGCTCAGCTAACTGGGTTTATTCAGCTCAATTCATGAATTAGAGCATTCTGCAAGGTCCTAATATAATAAATCAATAGTGTTTTCACATATGTGGGAACCAGGCCACCTGAATATGTAAAAGAACATGGTTATGAATTGTATCTAGGTTGAGATCCTATTCTTGGTCAGATAGGAAAGAAAACGGTTGGGAACAGCTTCCAGAGCCATTATATTAACCAAGAAAAAAAAAAACAGCTGCTTTATGAACTCAAAAATAGGTGCTCTGTACAAAATATCTCTTCAAAGGATTTGCAGAGGTATAGTGCCTACCCTTTCTTATTTAATATATTTACTTCCCAATCATGAGAAGACAGGACATGGTTAGGGTTTCCAAATATATAGGGAGTCACTCCTGTAATCTTTTCTAGAACCAAGGATGCTGCTTCCAAAATTCATTACATCTAGCTCTAAATACAAATAACATCCAATATAGGTTTAGAAAGTTTTATGTAATCTCACAGCTCAGAAATCGTTTCATAGCTCTCATCAGAGTTTTTCAACCCTGCATACCTCTATTACTATTTTATTTCAACTTCAGATAGTTCAAATAGCGATAGGGATTTTGCAAATGTTCTCTGAGTGCTTTGGTCTGATATGATGAGATAGCTGTAATCCTATCGGCTATCAGCTATTTCTATCAGATACATTACATTAACGATGCATTATTAAATCAGAGCATGGAACTACATAGAACAACATACAAGTGTGTGAGCCAGACGCTCGCTTTCTTGAAATCCACGTGGCAGTATTTATTCCCAAATAGGGGTGTTACATTTCCCTCCCCCACTTCTACTACAAACACAAGCAGAGCATGTGAGTAGAGAAAGCCCTCTGGTGACTCAGACTTGTATGGTCAAATTTACTCATTGTTGGAGTAACTTTCTATAGTTCCTAGCCATAAAGCCCATTATCTTGTTAGACGTCCATATCTAAAGCCAAAATCTTTAATCCAAGGAGGTTATTCAGCTCTAAAATGATGAAAGGTTGAATGAGAAAGTAATGTCTTTAATGGTTATTTATATTAACAGAAGCACGGTAAAAGGCTAAAAGAAATAAGGGTTGGAATACACTAGATATTACTGGGTCAATTCATCTTAATAGCTTACAAGGATCAGATCTTACACTGAGCACAAATTTACTGGGCACAATCATTTATTTTAATTCACTTGAGAGAACAATACTGCGTTTTCTGCCAGTTTTGTCTCTACTTAAAATAGGTGTCCCAACAGCTGCTAATTGTTTTGAACAAAATAAATGAGATCCATTAAACAAGGCATCTGATTCATTCAGAGATAAGGCTGATGTCTCACAGTGACAATTTGGAAGATCCATAGGTAAAATTGTCCTAATCTAATAATCCAGGCAGATTTATGGTAGGTTACCTTAGATCACTGCAATTATTACAGCGTTTAAATAGAAATTGAAGCTGATACTCAAGTTGCTGCAAAATTTTTTAAAAATGCCATTTTCTCCTCCCGAATGGATCTCCCCCCCATCCCAATAAAATCTCAAGAATACAAAGACCATACCTTTTTTTTTTTTTTTTTTTTGCTTTTTTATTTGGGAAAAGTGCTTCTTACAAAAGGCAGCTGCAAAGTAACACAGACTTCAGCAACATATTTTGATTCCATTTAAAAGTGAAAGGAAATGCAATCTAAAAGGACACAAGCAGAACAATTCAAGGACAACCCAGCAGCATTAAATGTAATGAAAGTTAAAATTCCCTTGAAGAGGGGAGAGGAAAAGAGGGAGAAAGATTTTGATGACCTCAGGAGTTCTTCCTAGCAGAACTGGTGCCTGGATGCTTTTTTTTCTATGGATAAAGTAGCAACATGCATGTTGTACAGCTACTTAGCCAACTCAGGTGTTCTGCAAGGCAACAAGGATCCTTCTAAGAGAGACAAGAGATTTCATGGTTTTAACTGATTATCACACTGTTCTACAACTTTGCAAAGATGAAGAGAGCACAAGAACCCCAATATGGTGGTACCCTAAGTGGATAATTTGGTCCAAATTCTGGCTAACAATATTCCTACACCTGTGTGACTCAGATACACCCAAAAGGAGAAGGAGGATAACTAGGAAGAGAATGGAGTGCTGGTGTCAATAAGGAAGTGTCTACTCTATTAGTTGTTTTAAAGACCATTTCCACAGAATTTGCTGAGACCACAACATTCATTTCAAAATCCAGTTGAATGTTAAGATATCATGCACCAAAAGGTTTGTGTAAAGAAGGGGATGAGAAGAATAGAGGGAAAGGGTTTAATACACACATATACCAAGTTGCCCAGCCCTTGGGATACAACTCTGTATTTTATTTGTATATACATACATAGAAAGTTCTCCTTTCACACACAAACACATTTTGCCTTTCATGCCGAACAGTAAAAACCGGAACATTCGCACCTGGTTCTGGTTACACAGTAGTAAATAGTAAATGTGCAAGTAAACAAGAGACCAAAACCACAAATGAACACATGTACATGAGGGGGGGTTGGAATGGAGCTAATGCCAGCCAAGAAAATATGTGCTGGCCTGAAATCTGAAGTAGGAAAATTGGTTTTCAGAGTCTCTTATTGTGGAACAAGGCAGTTGGCCAACATCTGCCCATCCCCCCCGCTGTACAGCCAGTGTTCTCAGGTTTGTATCTGGGCTCTTAAAGATGAGAGTGGAAGTCCTGTAAACATTTGAACCCTGGAACTGGGTGAATCCTGTCAGGAACAGATATAAAGCAACAAATCTAATCTAACTGTCTGACAGTTAAATTCATTTTTACAAAAAAAAAAAAACCCTAACGCTTTAAAGGTTTATTTCATGTCATTTGTTTTAACAGAAAAAGAAACACACTCCTAGGGCTTGGAAGAGGGGGGAAGGCAGGGAAAAGGAGACAGATTTTGGGGTGGGGTGGGGGAGTTATTACAACAGCAGCACCTGGAATTGATAGGCCTGCCTAGGAGAAAAACACAGGCACTGCCACAACACCACAGGAAAAAGAGCTACTGCCTGGGAGGGGGAAAAAAAATGGAGCAGACAGTCCAAACACCACAAAGATGTGCTATAGGTCCAAGTCATAATAGTCTTCCAGCTCATCATGAAACAAGTCCCATTCATCCTCGGAGTCTGTTAGGTCATCATCGCCTCCTGCCGCCAGCAACATGAGAAGCATTTCACCCAGCTCAAAGGTCACCACCTCATCCTCATCGTTCTCAAAGGGATCGCTGCTCTCCCTCTCTTCAATGAATTCCCAGAACCGGTTTCTCCGCTGAGCCTACAAGTAGAGCAGAATTACTGGCCTCACGTGAGTGCCATTCCCCAAACGAACCTAGACCTAGATGTTTCCTACAGCTAGTGTTCCAATACTCCTCCTTCCTCATCAAACACTGAATAAAACTGAGAAAGCTTGGTCAAAGGGGGATTATTTAGGGGAGGGGTCTCCAACCTTGGCAACTTCTAAGACTTGTGGACTTCAACTCCCAGAATTCATCAGCCAGCTGGCTGAGGAACTCTGGGAGTTGAAGTCCACAAGTCTTAAAGTTGTCAAGGTTGGAGACCCCTGATTTAGGGTGTCAAGATTGCCTCTCTAATGCAACCAGTATCTGAAAGTCAAAGAAAATCTCTGCAGATACCCATGCAAGGAATTAGGATCATGAAAAATATAACCATGATCCTGATATTTTTTACAACTTTTTTTTTTCTGTTGGGCAGACATTTTGCATACTTGCATGCAAGGTGTACTCTGGGTCAAAGACAAAGCCTGAAAACAGACAAACACCAGAGCATTATAACAAGCCTGCAAATTGCAATCTACCTAATAGGAGGTACCTTTGAATTTTCTGCACTTTCAAGAAACACCAAACAAGAGATGATGGAAGGGGATAATTAAGCTCTTAGCTGACCACAATAGAGGCCTAATAAGTTGCAGGCTTGTGGATGGGCTACACTCAGGCCTTCATCAATATTTCTTACTAATTTAGAGTTGGTGGGAAATCTCGCTTGCTAATTCTGATACAATTTCATTCAAGGGAGGAGTACTTGATAGTTCTTAAAATAAAAAAAATATTAAAGTTACATTGTTATCCACCATTTTATAATTAAAGTAGACATTTGGCAAAGGAGACTAGATACATTATTCTAAGTAGCACTAAGCCTAACATTTAGGTAGAACAATGCACGTTTCACAAAAATAATAACTATTCTTTCAAGTCAGCCTACAAGAAACTTTTATTCATTCAACATAAAAATATAGTATCGGCATTGCTCTGATTTGGCTAAGTTACATATAATCATGCCCTTTACATGATCCCGGACTTTAGGTTGATTACCCCTTCATGATTAAAAAATGTCAAAAAAACGGTGCAGGAAAAAAAATTACAAGAGGATATGAAATTACCCTTTTGATGCCCCCTCCCCATCCTATAGGTCAAAATAGTTTTTATTCAGCTATCTTCAAATGTCTAATTCAAAACTTATTTTTCTATTGCAAAGGGAAAAAAAAGTCAACAAAAGCAGTGGGGACTTACTCTGTATCTACTTGAAGTTCCCACTTTCTGCCTTTGGGGCTCCTCTCGGCGGCCATCAGGATATGCGTGTTTGTAAAAACAGTTCCCTCCAAATGGGCAGCTCCCACGGCCTTCATCAAAATACCTGCATGGCTTGTTGCTGGAAAGGAAAATATCGCAACCCTTACTCACAGCATAGCCAATCAGATTTCAGTACTGTATTTGCTTTATAAGCCAGGTGTTGCAGAAACTATGTTAAATTAATTAACATATGTAACACAGTGGATTACGTGGATGTGCATACTGAAAAGGTGTGCGTATGGATAGGTGCATGCAGAGGAAACACTCCAGAATAAAATGTGCTATTATTTATGACTAAATTGTAAACCGGGTGGACAAGGGAACAGCACATGAGGCTATTTGGCACAAAGGTTACTTGTGTACGCAGCATGCATCTGCTCGTGGTTAAAGATGCATCTCATGGGGTAGGGTGGGAAGAAGGCATGAGAGGACTTCAGGTAACACTTTTCTCCATGTACGCCCTTTAACCTCTGCAGTCAAACTTGGTTCGAGGCTGCAATGCTCATACCTCATTGCCTCCTTGTATTTCTGAATGAGTTTCTGCTTCTCTTCCTTCTCCTCCACCCAGTACTCACTTGGAATGACAAAGTTAGATGTGATCCGACATTCTGGGCAGGACCTGGGAAACGAACAGACTGCACTGCAAAATTCTACATGACAGGGGCGCCATTCCCAGCACAGACATACAACCACCTTTACAAGCAGTCTATCGTATCTCTGTCCGGTCTATTGCATTTCTTTAAAACAATTTAAAACTCCCCACCCCCACCCCAAAAGCCCCCCCGCCCCCAACCCAAGGAATTTATTGAGGTTTTTCAAAGAACATGAAGGGGAAAAACATTTCACACACAGACTCATTTTTCTTTAGATATAAATAAATTTATTTTTGTAACTTTGCTTTCTTGGATGTCCATATTGGTTTGGTTTGGGTTTTTTTCCAAGCAGATTTTAAAAAAGAATGGGCCACTGGCTCAGTAATGAACGAGAAAAGACTTAAGAAACACATGTTTGGAGTTTCTGTCTCTTGCACCATTTGAACCCAAGTGATTTTGTACCGCAACCAACCAACAGAACAGCAGGTTGCTTCCATTTAACAACAACAAAAAAGTATGACTTAACATTCAAACTCAGTGGATCTTGCTGACCAGTCAAGAGTACTGAGGTCAGAAAATTGATCCAAAAAAAAAAAAAAAACCCCCTCAATGCTGAATGATAACATTACTTATGTATTAAATGCAGTCTTGGGATGAAAGAGGGACGAAGTTGCCAGTTCACACAAAATACTAATTCTCCCCAAGAAACAAAGCACAACGGACATGGGGAAGTGCCTCACTTTATGATCTTGCTCTCAAATTGTTTAGCACTCCTCCACTTGCGAATGCACTTGAGACAGTAAGTATGATTGCAGTTGGATAGAATCCCAAATCGACGCTCGCTGGGATTGGCTTTTTCATATACCACCTCCATGCAGATGCCACACACCATGTCTTTACTACGCTGAACCGCAAAGGAGAGCTCCATGTCTTTCTCATGAGCTTCGATGCATGACTGTGAAGGAAAGGAGAAGAAACTGACACTATTGATCATAAAGTCAAATTGAGGGGGGGGGGAAACATCATGAAAGCATTTGAGAGGTCTACAACTTCTACAATGTTCTATTCTGTCAATTTCAAATGTCATTTTTTTCCTTAAGTGTTTCAGATTATAAAATGCCCCCCTGGGCATGGAAAGAATGAGAATGAGTGATGTTTTACTTTTTATACTATTTTCTTGGCACCTTGTCTTTGTTTTGCTTTTTTAAAATTCTTCTGACAGAAAGAACTAAAGTACTGAAATAAAATACAGTTTTACTATAAGTGGGCTATTTTTCAGCAGAAACAAGACTGGTAATATATAAATAAAATGCACGTAACCCCATGGTATCTAACCACAATTAAGTTCCATTTGTATCTACTAGAAGCAATTGTAAATGTGAAAAATGGCAACAAGTAGTCAAACTATCTCATATTCAGAAATAGTTGAGCTATTTATTCCTTTACCCCTCCAAATCCATGGAAATGAAACATAACTACCCAATTGCAGTGAGTAAGCTGAAAATATACATCTTGTGTACAAGAATATTGTATCTTCTTTCTGTGTTGTGTCTTCTATTTGATTTTAATTGAGGACAGTGATTTTAATATAAATCTTGAAATTTCATTCATTCATTCATTCATTCATTCGTTCGTTCGTTCGTTCGTTCGTTCGTTCGTTCCCATTTGAAGCCCAGTACTGTAAAAGATATAATCATGTATTTCATCCCTCTAGGTATGAACTAACCTGAACTGGATAATCACATTTTACATTTACTGACCATAACAATATAATGGCATATAGTTATAGGTAGAAGCTATTAGCACATTTCAGAAGGATATTCAGAATCCTATCATTTCTCACAAACATTTATTATTGATTTGGTTTATCTGTAGTTCTTCCATTTTTTATTTTTAAAGTTGGTCCTTCCTAATATCATTGAAATTCACTTTATATAAGTTTCTCACTAAAGTTTAAAATGCAATAATGATAAACACACTGTCAGCTGTAAAGAGTTTCTCATATTTTAAAGTCTGTGGTTAACTTAAAATACATATTTTCCCAATTATTGCTCCAATGTATTTCAAAGGGGAAACATAGCATTATGTATCCCACATGGATGGCAGGTTATGAAAATACCTTATTTTCTAAGAATCTGTATCTTAGAAAGCAAAATACCACCAAGTAGTTTATCTCACCTCCTCAAAGGAACAGTAAAGAAAACGAGTATTATCAAGTGCAGAAACCATCTTGCTGCTTGGATATTATGGATCAGATGGTTTATCTGGAATTCTTTCAGTTGGATTCAGGTCTGTATACAGCACAGAAGCAATCTTAATCGCTCTGCAACAGATGTAAAGGGTGCTTCTCTCTTGGTCCTGTTAGACCTCTTAGTGGCATTTAATTTCATGGACCATCACATCCTTTTGGATCTTCTCTGAAGGTTGGCGACAAGGAGCACACTTTGGCAGCAGTTCTTCTTCTGCCTTAGTGGCCAGGTCCAATTTTTTGGAGGGGAAAGACAGATCAAGCCTTTGGCATTTCACTGCAGAACACCCCAGGACTGTACCTCTCCCCCATCTTGCTTAATATTTACCTGAAGTTATAGGGAAACACAATCCATTGGTTTGTGGTTCCATATCATCAATATACTGATGGCACTCAAACTGACCCCAGTCTATGGACAGACTAAGACTGAATCCCAGGGGACAGAAATACTGTTAGTACAGAAACATTTGGGATCCGTGAATATTGTTCGGGACAGAGTTTGTTCCCCAAAAGAGCAGGCACACAATCTGTCAGCGTTCTTGGACCAATCACTCCTACTCTAGCAGCAGGTGGCAGTTATGAGCCATGGTGGTGCAGTAGTTAGAATGCAGTATTGCAGGCAAATTCTGCTGACTGCCAGGAGTTTGATCCTGACCGGCTCAAGGTTGACTCAGCCTTCCATCCTTCTAAGGTCAGTAAAATGAGGACCCAGGTTGTTGGAGGCAATATGCTGACTCTGTAAATCGCTTAGAGAGGGGCTATAAAGCATATGAAGCAATATATAAGTCTAAGTGCTATTGTTACAACCAGAAGCACCTTTGATCAGCTTTGTCTGGCCTGTCAGTTATGATCTTACCTAAATCAGAATGCCTTGAAAACGGACCTGCACCCTTGTCATCTTCCAGTTTGCTTTACATGGGGCTCTTGTTGAGGAAGATCCACAAACTGCCATTGTCTGTCCATTTGCTAACCAGCATTAGCAAGTTTAGTTGAAAGATCCCTATCCTTCAGGGAGACAGTACTGGGTGCCAGTAGCTTCCAGACCCAATTCAAAATGCTAGTTATTATGTCTTAGACTCTGTTAGAATTTCCTTAATACTTGCTCTAACTAAGAGGAGATGCTCTGGGGGAAGGGAGGGGATGGAGACTTGGGGTTGACTTATTTTGCAATAGCCCTCTTACTATAAAACATCTTGCTGTAGAACAACCCAATGTCAGATTAGGTCCAATTCACATTACAGCATATTGGATTAGATTGGAGAAGGGACACCTTTTTAAGGCATTTATGTGCTGGACAGAACAGTATCACCCTTGTCTAGTTTTCTTTGTGCTGGCCCCAGTTAACACTAAAGCATTCTGCCCAAACTCTGCATAGCGGCATACCCAAGGCCATCAGCCACTTGCTTGCACCTATGATAACAAAGATTTAGAACACAGAATAAAACATAGAATAATAAGAACTGGAAGGAACCTTGTAGGTCTTCTCGTCTAGCCCCCTGCTCTATATGAGACCCTATATCATTTCAGACAAATGGTTGTTCAGTCCCTTTTTGAAAGCCTTCAAACCCACAACTTTTGAAGGCAAGCTATTCCGTTAGTTAATTGCCCTCACCATTAGGAAATTTCTCCTTAGTTCTAGGTTGCTTTTCTCCTTAGTTAGTTTCCAATCATTGTTTCTTTTGGTGCTTTGGAAAATAGTTTGTCCCCCTCGTCTTTGTAGGAGCCCCTCAAATATTGGAACAGTCATGTCCCCCCATGTCCTTCTATTCATTAGACTAATGCAATTCCTGCAACCATTCTTCAAACGTTTTAGTCTCCAGCCCCCCAATCATTTTTGTTGCTCTTCTCTGGACCTGAGAAACCCTTTGCAATAACTCAAATGTTTCTGTGGTTATTTATTAAGTAGCTAATAGTTAACTAGTTATTTCACTCATTTTCCCCACTTACCTTTATGTGTAATGATCTCTGTGCAGCATCAGCAGGATGGAGGACTTGCAAGCCACACATGTCGCAGATATCCCCATGAATATATACGCAGTTTTCTCCGTAACGGCATTCTCCTACTGCAGCATAGGGACATAGCTGTTTCTTCATCTCTAAACTGGTTTGCTGTTTTTCATATTCCTCTTCAATTACCATTCCCTGCAGAGGAGTTTCAGTGCAGGAAGGAGCAGCTGGAGCAGTCAGAAGGAAGACACAGAGCATTTGATTCCTGAATAGTAAAGCCTGAATAGCCTTTTTTTTTTTATGTAAACATACAAATTATTTTATTTAAGGAAAAGAGGTTAGTCCTCTATCACTCTTTCTCATTTTCTACACAAAAATATTACCATCTTATAAATTATTTGAAACAACATGAAACATCTTTTTAATGTATTTCAAAAATATGAAGGACATGAAAACACAGTTCAATGGTCCATTCCAAGTGAAACATTTAAGAGCATACACACTGTACTGCATATGAAAAGCATGGAGATATGCTAATGTGCAGATTTTGCATGCATGCAGACTGACATGTAAAAGAACCACCTTCTAAAGGTTTAGCCAACTACTAGGTGGCTTGAGTAGTAATATGTAACAAATTATGGCTAGGTTCCTCCCTAAACATGTCATTAGAGAAGTAAACATATTATTAAAGAAGTGCTGACAACTGGAAATGTATACAGGGCAATAGAGAGAGTTATTAATTAACAGCTTGACTGGATTAGAAGAGAAATTACTTGAACAAAGACCATTCAACAAGATCTGCACACCAAAAACAAAAAGCTGAGTCACAAGATGCAAGCTGAACAATTTAGGCCATGTGCTCTTATTAGAATCTCTGAGTAATGCTATAATCATCTGAACAATGTAAACGTAATACACATAGTCTTCAACATACAAACACAATTGGGATTTCCATCATAAATTGTTGTGATCAGACCCGATTTGATGTCATAAGTCAAGTCATATGGAAATAAAATAAGGACATAAGTATTAACCAATAGTATATCTGTCCAGGTTTTTTGTTTTGTCAGAAACTGGCAAAAAAATCTAACAAATTGTGACCACATGAACATGGGATGTTACAACTGGTTTTAAATGTGAACCAGTTCCAAGTGCCCAAAGTGCAATCAAATGACCACAGGGATAAGTCAACAGTTGTAAGTTCAAATTTGGGTTTTAACTGATGTTTTCAGAGGCTATTGTTGAATTCAAGCCCTTGTTAAGCTAACGGTTGTAAATCAAGGACAACTTGTACTGAAAGTTTAAAATAACGTGAAAAACAATCACAGCTAGGTTTAGGAGTCGTGGTGGCGCAGTAGCTGGAATGCAGTATTGCAGGCTAATTCTGCTGACTGCCGACTGCCAGCAGTTCAGTTCTCACAGCTCAAGGTTGACTCAGCCTCCCAGCCTTCTGAGCTGGGTAAAATGAGGACCCAGATTGTTGGGGGCAATATGCTGACTCTGTAAACTGCTTAGGGAGGGGCTATAAAGCACTGTGAAGTGGTATATAAATCTAAGTGCTATTGCTTTTGCTATACATGTGGCAAAAATTCCAAAAGTTACACCTGAATGGTGATAATTTATTAGAACCAACTAAAATATTTAGAACTAAAATAATACAAAGTGCAAGCTTGTGCGTTTGCCTTATTTTTAATTAAGTAAAGCACTACAAAGGGAGTAGGGAAGAATCAAGGAAGCCTAAGCATCAGAACAGATATTTTAAGTGATACAATTTGAAATACAAATGAATAATTCTGCATTCAGTCCATAAATTGTATCAGATATTGCTGGAATCAGATTACACTTAATCTTCAAAGGAGAAGAAACTGTGGTTTGCTAAAGATAAAAAGACATTATGGTTCCAGTCCCTGTGATCCTCAGAAGCTACAATGTTTTTCACTTCACACACAAAAAGAACCAATTTCAGTCTGAAAAAGAACAACTATCACTTGGATAAGGAAAATATTCCTAATAGAAGGATGGATAAATTTGTATTCTCTTATTTAACTCTAAACTATAGAAAGGCAAATTATATGGAAAGGCAAATCAAATGTTTCCTATCTGATAAAATCTGGAGACTGCAGCAGCATTTTGCATATATTACTTCCTCTTGCTGCCCACACTCATTTGTTATTATATTAAGTACATTTTTTTAGGTGAGTTCAGTGGACCTTCCTTCAATGAATATGCAATTTAAAAGCCTCCCTAGAATATTTGGCACCTTCAGACCATAACATATGGCTGGCCAATTGAGCTCAACTAAATGGACCATAGGGAGGCAGTGCCCTCAGTGGCAAAACTGGGAAGGAACTCCATAAATCAGTGTTTGATTTATTATAAGGCAGTTTATAACACAAAGCAGAACAACTGTTCAAATGAATACAGCTCTTGCTTAGATACTAAGTCTAGGGAGACCAAAAAAAAAATAAAATTCCATGGTTGGCAATGAATATTTATCACTATTACAACGAATCAACTTACCACGACCAAAATACGGCTGCCCAGGAATAAACTCCACAGCATTCACCCAATCTTCAGCCCCAGCTCCTGCAGCTGCCAGCTCTTTGTCTTCAGTCTCACCGCTGCTCACTTCAAGTGTTCCAGGAGATGGGGTCACATCCGTTGAGGCCGAAGAATAGGTTTTTGCAACTGGACTCACAGTAGTTGTGTCTTCTCTTTTCGATGGCTTAGTATGTTCATATCTGATAAGGAGCAAAGACAGAAATTGCAAAAATAACCCTATGTGAACTCCAGTTAAAAGAAATTGCTTCAAGGAATCAGAAATGCATTATATGGCAGGGGGATGGAAAAGAGAGCCTCATTAGGATACTTGAAGTGGCCTTAAATAGTTACTTGACAATGTATTTTGAAGTGACTTGGTTAAGCTTCACTGAGGTAAATATTTTCTCTAGCACTCTGTACTGCTGGAAGAGCCATCAGATATAAGTGCCCTTGGAGGGAAATATGTGAGAGATATAACCCACTTATCAACTTTTTTTATCAGTAAGAGAAAGCAATTATTGGGAAATCAAAATCTGTTCTAAAAGGTCTCTAAAGCAGATTTTGAAGGTCAGTGAGAGAAAAAGAATCTGCATTCCCATCATATTTGTGGACTTCCACTCATTACAGTACTGGATTCTACCCTAGGAATTATCTTTCTTCTCTGCTTCCAATTATTTCCTCTTAAGGACATTTCCACATCCAGTGTTTTGATATATATTTTTACATCAGAAGATAAAAAAACAGGAGGAAGAAATTAAACTGCATGTATGCAGGAGTACTATATATCATTCTTCCTGAGCCCCTTTGCAATGACTGCATTTGCATTAAAGAATATATACTTTATTACTCTACATGTAGACTGTTCACCAATCATCTGGAAACAAAAACAAAATAACTTCAATGTTTTATGGGCTTTAATATGGTTGTTGAATTAGACAACAACTTTTGAGAGATGGTCAATTTTCTCTCTCCTGTTGATCTCCACATATTTTGCAGCCCAGAGTATGGTTTACATTTGTGGATGATGGGGATTAGAGTGACTTTAGAGAAGCATTCCAGATGGAAGGTATCAGGTTAGGCAAAGCTACAATGAAATGGGACACAGAGGTAAAATATTTATTTTGTTGTGATCCTGCTTCCTAAATGGCTTCTATAAAAGTTTTGTGGTGTACAGAAAATGGCAATTATAAACACAGTAGCTACTACTGTCTCACATTGACATTATATTTCCAAATTCAGTTTATAATTAAAATTCTGTGTAACAGTCCTTTTTCTCACTATCTGCACAAGCTTCTCTGGAATACAAAATGTATCTGTATAACACACTACATGAAGATTCCCAGTGATGTGACCACAAATCACAAATCCTGTTCTTACAAATATAATAGTACTGGCGGTTTCCACTATACTGAGTAATGCTGCTACTACATCAGCATTGGTGGTAACGGGTAATGTGCAGCTTCCATGATCAACATTCATTGAACTAAAACTTGTTTATCTCTTTAAAGCCACTGAAGATAACTAGCCATAAATATAGGGAATTTGCTCCTTGTAAAAACATAGAGCATTTCTATACCTGCAACGATCTCCATAAGCACAGCATCCTCGCTGAAAATACCTACACACCATGCCAGAGTGGGTAGTGTAGAGGTCATGGGAATAACGGCAGTTGTCCCCTTCCTTGCAAACACCATGCATGAAATATCTGAAAGACATAAATTTGTAAATAAGGCTGAACCGGAAAGAATATTACGTAGTTTTAATGGGATTACATCATGCCTGATGAAAATAAATTACAAACACTCCTGAATAATAATCCTAATGTTCTGGAGTGCTAAACTCAACACTTTAGTCATTATGGGCTCTAGTATTGATAATTAGTGTATGGCGGATTTTTCTAACTACATTTTACAGCTACCTAAACCAATTGCCACCACTGCAGTGTGTGACTGAAAATATCATGAACACATACTGTAATCATGCGAACGTGGTTTCCAATGTTCCTTGCTGGCTTTCCACAAGCAAAGGCAATTGGGAAGCCAGCAGGAAGTTGGAAGCTGCTTCCTCTCCCACTGCTTGTTCACCTGCCTCCACTTAATAGTGGCATGCTGACTGGATTCTCCTGCCTGTAGAATTGCTTGTGCTTCTCAGTTCCTCCCTGGAACTGCTGGGATTGCCGTTGCTAAGTAATGAGTGTACATGATGTCACAGTTTACAATCACTTAGCGATAGAAATTCCAGCCTCAGTTGCTGTTGTAACTCAAGGACTACCTGTAGTTTAAGATATAAACATTTTGACCTAGACAGGGATTTATATTTAATCCCTGAATAAAATGCATGCCCTTTTGTTGCAGAATTCATATTATTATAAAATGAAGCGTCAAAGCAGCACTAAATTCAAACTTTGAAAATCATTTTCAAAGAAAATTATACAGAATAAGCATCAGTAAGAATAAGGTGGGGTGCCACACAGAATTAAAAAGAAAGTGTGTAAACCAGATGAGCATGGTCAAATTATAAAAAAAACTATCACAAAAGGCAACAAGCTTTATTCCGAAATTAACAGTCTAAGAGCAAAATATAACAGGGTAGGGTTCCTTCCCAACCTGCTTCCAACAAGCAAAGTCAATTGGGAAAGCCAGATACACTTAATGACTGTGGCAAAAAAGATCAGAAAATTGAGCATGGTCACATGATGATTTAACAACCACATTGCTTAGCGATGGACGTTCCAGTCCCAACTGTGTTTGTAAGTTTGTAAGAAGAGCCTTGATAGTACAGTGGTTTAGTGCACCCTGTTATTAACACAGCTGCCTGCAATTTCTGCTGGTTCGAATCTCTCCAAGGCTCAAGGTTGACTCAGCCTTCCATCCTTTCTAAGGTAGGTGAAATGAGGACCCAGTTTATGGGGGCAATAAGCTGACTTTGTATAAAATATACAAAAGAATGAAGGCTATTGCTTAACGCATTGTAAACCGCCCTGAGTCTCCGGAGAAGGGCGGCATATAAATCAAATTAAAAAAAAAAAAAAGTCAAAGACTAGACTAGACTAGAATGAATAGAAGAGTAGAGTAGAGTAGAGTAGAGTAGAGTAGAGTAGAGTAGAGTAGAGTAGAGTAGAGTAGAGTAGAGTAGAATAACTTTATTGTCCCTTTGAATGTTCACTAATCGGCATACGTTAAATGAAATTTTGTTGCATACAGCTCTCAAAGGGTCTCCACATCCAATATACACTAAACATGACAAAACAAATAAATAAATACAAAATTATGCATATACCCACATATATGAGACTAAAGACTAAATAAAATGAGAAAGATGATTGAGACAGATAAAATATCTCCAATTATTTTTGCAAAGCAAAGATATTACGAATACCGTAATAAAAATTCTAGAATACCAGCAAGTAAATTTTCCGTCAGTTGAGCATCTTTGTCAAACCAAATCTAATTATAGTGTAGAATATGACCATTGATTTAAGAGTTGATCGTGTTTCCCGAGTGGAAGTGGGAAACATTTAGGTATGCAAGGCAATCTACAGGGTTTCCTGAATAACATGGTATTAGGTGTCCACTACGTAGTTTTACCATAACACAAAGGAAGTGGTGTTTTTAGTTTCTTTAATTTTTTAAAATCAAAGTTTGAAGTTGATGGTAGGGTGTTAAGGTCATGATCCACTCTAATGACAGATTCATTTTCAAGGTTCCAGACAAAGAAAATGACATTGATGAGTAAAGGAGTGGTTTCAGAGAACAAGAAAAATTAAATTTTTCATCAGTCACTCAAATATTTGGTATCTTTTAAATGTGATTTGTTACAGATTAAGAAGTGAAAGGCAGTTTGGCTGGCATTAGCTGCCAAAATATATATAGACCAACCCTGTTGGTAACAGAGCTGTTATTTAGCTGATCTAGCTCCCTCTATGCAAATTAGTTGTTAAACTTTTATGTGGGCTTCCTGAGGAACATCGCTTTGAATCTTGCTGCTGATCCTGAGCATCCTCCACCATTTGCAAAAAAAATATATATGAAGGTTTGTGACAGGACGCCAGTACATTATGCAACAATATTTTTATTAAGTGCCGATGCAAGTGGAAGCATTTGCAAGAGTTTGTAGTCCTCTCTTACACTTAATTGTGGAGTCGCAAGGAGGGTAGCAGGTATCCCTCAATACGTTTTTGCTTAATAATTATTCAAATTAAGACAACCTCCCAAAATACGTAAGATCTCCGACTTCCGGGTGTTCCGCTGCGCACTGAAGACCCTGTTGTTCCGCCAGGCAGGGCTGTCAATATAATAATTTTAAATTGGGGTATTTTAATTTTTGGGGTTTTAAATCGGCCAAATCTATTTAATTATTTTAATTTTTAATTATTGTTGTGTTTTGTGTTTTTAAATTGGCTGTACACCGCCCTGAGTCCTTCGGGAGAAGGGCGGTATAGAAATAAAATTATTATTATTATTATTATTATTATTATTATTATTATTATTATTATAATAAAAGTCAGCTGCGACCTAAATTTGAACTTACAACCTCTGCCCTACCGCATGGTCATGGGATCATAATTTGGGCACTGGGCAACTGGCTCACATTTATAACCGGTTGTGGCATGGGTGTCAAACCCGACTGCATCGCCAGCCGTATCGGGCCCTTTTTAGCCTTTGCGGAGCCAAGATGGGAGTGGCCTGCGCGGATCATATCTGGCCCATGGGCTGCCAGTTTGACAGGCCTGGGTTGTGGCGTCACACAGTTACATGATTGGGATTTGCTATGTTTTGTGCTAATTTCTGGCAAAAAAAATTGCCATGGCAATTAAACAATTTTTAATTGCCATTAAAAATTGTTAATCTGGATTTGTGTTTACAACTGTGTGACTCAACTCACACTATGGAAAAAGTGGCCATAAAATTGGGTCTGGTCATGGGATGATTTGATTTATGAATGCAACAATTTATGACAAAATACCAGAACCAATTGTGGTTATAAATTGAGGACTACCTGTAAAGATGGAATAAGCATTATGAGTGATCTTCTATGCTAGGGAGTGGGGAGAAGAAAGAGAATGCTGGAACTGGACGTTGTCTAATTTTGTGTTTATTTATTAAATTTATAGGACACCCATCTCACTCTGAAAAGCGACTCTTTATTAGAAAACACCCCTTTTTAGAACACGCCCCTGACCAGAAACAAAAACTGAGGTAATCTATGTTACTGCTCATGATAGCATTAATAATGGACAATCAATGAAGTCTATTTAGTATCAAATTGTCTGCATTTCCTTTTCTCTGTAGAAAATAAACCTATATTGAAAAAAAAATGTCACATATGGATTCTAGAGGCAAGTATCTATCAGGCAGAGGTGTGGAATATCCAACGCTTACAGAATATTCTCTCAAGAAAGCTATAATCTATAATCTGTCCTACTATAATCCTGAGTAGGACATTCCATGATTTTAAAATGTTAAGATATTTGAATTATGGAGTAATTAAAATTTTAATATTTTTTGTATTATGCTACTTATTTTTGTTTTTGGTTGCTTATGGGTGCTTTAAATGAACAGGTCACCAGAAATCTTGTTAATAAGTGAACTGAAGCTATAATTGATCAATCAAGCCTATGTCTACATAGTCTGATTCTTTTTTTTTATTCTTCTGGCAATTTTGCCCTTCCACCCTAAACTGCAATTTGTATGCTTTTAAATGCAGGTTTGCATTTTATTAAAGTCATTCATGTCATGCGCAGTCTGTCTTAACAGTCATCATTTTGTTAAAATACAGCTACTTGCAAAATCAGTAAATGAAAAGCTAAAAGAAATGGATATATCATTCTTTTAATCCAGCCAGAAAAAGAAAACCGTGGAATAGCACAGATGTGCAAAATATTTCAAGCTTGACACACATTTTCCCAAACTTATCAGAAGCATTTTGACACATCCAATCCTATATCTGAGCTTGAAATACTTCTACTAAGATTGCACAGTACTGGAATACTTGTCAGGTTGAAACAGCATATTTTGAATTTAAAATATGTCAGACAGCTGTTCACAGCAGTGTCAATATTATATAATAGAAAATAAATACAGCTTCAGTCCCTAAAGATCAGTTGAAAGACAATTTCCCAAGTATGAAAAATATTCTTTATTTTTTAAAAATTGCCTATCTTATAGAAAGCCAAAAACTCTTAATTAAAGTGGGAAAACTATAAAATCCAGACCTATGAATAGTAAAATATCCTCTTCTTTCATGCAGCAAAACAAATTTTGCTATCAATTAAAAATACATTTGCTCAAAGCAGTAAATCTCTTCCTAAAAGCAGATATTAGAGCACTTTTTTTCCAAAACTCCTGAATCTACTAGTATCCTGAAACATCTAACTGCAATTTGAAGAAATGCACAAAGAGCTAAATTTGAGACAGAATTTTAATATATTAATATTTAACTCACTTTTATCAATGTTACCCAAAGAATAATTTGATTGCATACCTAAAATTAACCAGTTATAAAAACAGTATCCCCAGTATTTAAATCAAACTTAACAATCATGAAAAAATGAGTGAAAGGAAATGGGGAAAAAAGATTCATTTCAGATTGCTAATCAAATGACGCCTTAATTTGATGAGACTTAATTTAACTGAGAATGTTAGCTGCCCACTTCCTGGTGAGTAAGAACCACTTTAAAAATATGACACTTCTTTTATGGGTGCT